GAACTACTGCCACCGTTATTTAAATACTAAGATAAGATCAACTTTAGTGATCTCACAATTTAACAGAATCACTCAGGGTGTGCAAAAAGACAAAAGTGTGCAAACATGTTAGAAAAGTTAAAATATGGTCTCTTTGCAAGATATATTCTGTACAATCACATTAAAAGTGACTATAGCAGTGTGAGTTTTTCAGCCCTGGCTCTTGTCATTAAAGTGACTTATTGTACAGTCGGACAGTGGTGGGGATGAAGACCCTATCACAGGGGTCTCCAGGAGCTATGCCACAGGCTGGAGATCCCTGCCCTATCTTATATAGATTTAATTGACTTGGGTAAGCATCGCTAAAGATAAAAAAATACCCCACCAATTTGTAATTCCTCTTCAGCCCCACCTCAGCCTCAAGATTTGAACTAAAAACACTTGTTATAAGAATAGCAATAAGTCATAGAGATACTCAAATATAACTATTATGATACACTATAAACTCTGCAGACACATGGATTATTGTACACCGCCCACACCCACTCTGATAAGCCAGAATTCAGCTTTGACAAATGTGGGAAAGTGACTGATCGTTTTGTAGAAGAGCGGTTCTCCACACAAGCCCCCATGGGAACGCCTGACCCCTGAATCCAGCCCGCTGCGGTTTAAGGGTGCGGATTGGGGGAAAAACCTCACTCTTTTGACACACTGACCATTTCTGCTCTTGTCAAAAAATGTGTTGGTCAAAAGCCTTTCCCTCTCGCAGCTCAGTCAGCATTACATACTCTGTGTGCGAGCAAATGCATTCAAAAGCACCACTCCACTGCATGCACTTTAAGCCAAGGAGCAAAAAAAACACCAAAGTGGTTAGAATAAAACAAAAACAAATATTAACATGACATCCCACGGGAGCAGTGTTTGGGATCACGGGAGAGAATACAGAGTTTGACTATTAGACGTGCACTTATGGAGAGGTTTTTTGAAATGAAATGCATAAGAAAAAGAGACAAATAGCAAAAGAATCGTTCATAACAACAGGGTATTAAAAATTAACATAACATTGCTCTTTCTCTTTATGTTGTGCTTGTTTAGTTATTGTGCCTAACTGTGTGTTTGTGTGTTTCTACCTCCCAAAAGGACAATGGATGAAATTTAGCTGCTAATTCCAGCTTATTTATCTTGACGATGTCGGCTGAGACATTGATGAATATATTCTGTCCTAAATTCAAATAAATAAATAAAAATGAAATATAAATACTTGATTCATGCTTTTTTATTATGCTAAAGTTGGAGATTTTAGACTTGCTTCTTTATTATGCTAAAGTTATAGATTTTATGTTATTATAGTGAAGACTCCACATTTCTACTGTTATGTAACTAGTGATGCAACACTGAAATTTCCCCACTTTGAGACGATCAAAATATTAATCTAGTAAATGCAGACATATGCTTTAGTGTCATCATCAGGTCCAACACTAGGGGTGTTAGAAAATACAGATTTGCGGATAAACATATTTCAATACATAATTATGCGATTCCTGTCTAGTTTCAAAAAACAGTGTAAAAACCTGTAAAAGATTATTTATTTTTCTTGAGATGAGTTTATATATAGGGGCCCACAGTCAACAGTCTGGTTTTATTCAAAGCCAAAAAGAAAACACTGAATATGACATAATAATGATGTTATTGTCAATGTCAATAACAGACTACAGAGTTCAGAATAATAATGTTTGGAGCGGGCTGTAGGTGTTTCTTGGCAGCAGAGAAAAAGGCCACATTCTCCAGTTTGGATGTGACACAAATATTTAAATAACTTTATAGAACGTGGGTTTTTGTATGTAGGTGGAGAATTTAGTAAATATCGAGAGATTCTTCTGATTTGGGTCATATAGGTCAATGTATTTATTTGCACCTTAATGAGACAGGAGTCAACATTCAACAAAGGCTCTGGGACATTTCCATTTAGACCAGAACATGATGAACAGACACCATCATGAAATCAGGCCGTTAAAGCTGGGTTACCTAACTCCCAACCCGCTAAATAACACATTTACTACAAACCACAAACTTGTCCATCTTATTAGAAAGCATCAAACTTCAAACTTCAAGGAAAGAGTCATTATTTGACTTGTTGGGCGAGTCAGGGGAGTCGTCTCTTAGGAACTTTTCTGCTGATCTAAAGATGTGACAAAGGTCAAAATATACATGTGAAACCTGGGGGGAAATTACTGGAAAGAATCGGTTTTGGGAGCGAGGAACTAAAATGATGGACGTTATTACATAGGTTTTGTTGTCAGGTAAACCAGCTTTAACACTGTATAATATCTCTGTTTAAGCTGAAGCAGCCAATTTGACATCTTTTAGTTTTGGAAGTGTGATTATTCAGCTCCGGTACATGTTCGGACTTCTTAACATTGAGACCTCCTCCGTATCTAAATGCAGTGGATCTCTAGGTCATTCTTTTTATTGAAATTTTTTGAAATGTGAGTAGTTTTAAACCTTTTAACTCCCAGAGCAGTCTTTTTGATTGGTCCGGTCAGAGCAAAGCAAGTGCTAGTTACCATAGCAACACACTGTTTATTGTCAGCAGTTGTTGTTTGGTAGCCTTTCAAGAAGCTGCATTTAGTACTTCTGGTGGAAAACTAACTCAAATCAATCAACTAGCATTTATTTCTATAGCACAGTTCATACAGAATGTTTTGACCAATTAAAAACACGTACAAATGGCATGTTTAAAAACAAAAACAAAATTATGATCCACTGCCTGATGATCGTAGGCGCAGCTAAAAAGAACCGTTTTCAGCCTGGACTTGGATATAGCTGTGGAAGCGGCCTGTCTCACACCTTCAGGAAGATTAATCCCCCCCCCCATGTATAATCAGAACTCCATTGATTTGAATGGGAGCAGTCAAAATAATGGCTCTGGAAGTTCTTGTGTTTCACTCCTTTTTGAAAGTCACATCAGTAATCAGAATCCACACCGGCCACATACTATATAAACATGACTATATTAGCGATACCATCTCCCTGGCATATACCATTATAATGCATGACTACTAAAATACATCTGAATGGAAGCATTTGAAAGTCTGCTGCTTTTGAACCTGATGCACTTCCCTCTTCCTCACCTCTGCAGCTTCGCCCACAGTCCCACAGGTAGTGTGTGTACAGCTGTGGCCTGGTGTTGATCATAGATTAAGATGGCCCGGACCAACCCGCCCTCAGCAGCACAGATCTATGGCAGGACTAATGTTTACAGAGACAGGAAAGAGGGCTGGCTTTCCACACAAGTCCAGCTGAATTTTCCTGGCGATTAGCGAGAGGCTGCAGAACAAAGAGCTTCCTCTAAAGCCCACAACATGCTCGCTCAGCCAAGCATTTAAGACGACTGGTTAAGAGCAGTGGAAGAAGCCAGACATGGAATTTTATGATCTTACAGACAGCAATCACAGAGATAACGTGTCCATAAAAGGGTCTCAGCTTGCTCCCTCGAGAGTTGGGTAAAAGTATAAAGGATAAAAAAAGGCTTTACTTCTTACTGTGATGCAGGCAGGCTCTAGTCTGTGTCCAAAGCCAAAGAATTAGGATTTGAGAATTATACAAATAGTTGATAAAAGTGGAGCACAAGATTAAATGGGAAACACTCTGTCCCTCCTCACTTCAAAACAACTCACAATTTTACTTTTATTTTTTAATTGGTTAACTGGTATATTATTTTTTTTATCACATCTTTATTGTTTTTGGTTTGTGTATAATGTTTTACTTCTATTTTTATTTAAACGTATATAGCTGGCAAACCTGTATATTTAAATGTGTTTATTTCGCTGTGCAGCACTTTGGAAAATTGTTTTAAAAAGGGGGCTATATGAATAAAGTGGATTGGATATATAGGGCGGTAAATGCCAATATTTAGAAGTTGGCATCACGATCCTGAAACTAACTTTTTTTTCTTCAATGACCTTGAAATGAATTGTGTCCTGTCCTATGGTTGCCAAAACAAAACAGCTTAGATATGTATTATCCTATTAAGCACTGTAATAAGATTCTGTTCTGGTTCTGGACTAATCTGAATTAATTTTAACTCTATAATGGTCTACCCAGATTCTCAAACAATACATTTTTCTTGTCCCAACAGAACATTAAAGTGAAACGTTGTTAACAAGTCCACCACACGTCATCAATATCTTATAAGAAAGCATATTCATGTGTACATACGTGAAAGAAAGAGCCCTGTTTGAAGATGTGACAGAGGAAAACTTCAAGCATAAACTGAGCGAGTGGGTTTGCAGATGTATTTAATGACTGTCCAATTTGTGTGCCTTGAAAATTAGGCTCCCCAGCTTTAAATGTCTCATCTCTTTGAGTATGTTGAAAGAGGATGCTGCTAAATATTAAAACGTCACAGGAAACTACAGGCCATTGCTTTATATATATCTATATATAGATATATATAAACATATTATGGGAAATTCACAATGTTTTTTTAACATATTTTTAGTTCTGTAAAGTTATGTTTGCCAATTCAATCTATCAATCTTTATTCGAAGAGCACCTTTCTTACACAGAGATTCACAGTCTACATCACACAAATCATCACATAAAACAAAACAAAAAAAACAAAATCACCGTTAGAACACTACAATCACGCAGGTAATAAAAAACCATGAAAACATTAAAATCACACAGGATTAAAATAATACATAACCCTAGTGCATTAAAAACAGAGATAAAATCCTTCAGTTGTCTGCACGGGCAAACAGGTCTTTAAGCTGGATTTGAACTTAGTCAGAGTAGACGCCTCTCTCAGAATCCATATTTGGATGCACTCAATCTCCTTCTCCCTAAACATTCACCCAACCCTGTGTCTCAGTATTTAAGGCGAGGTCATTATTAGATATTGTCATTATTAGATATTATTAGATATCTGCAGATCCATCTGCAGATATGATTCCCCATAAGAACGCCACACCAAGCCCAAAACCTTAACAAAAACTGGTTGGGTGGTCGTGTGGTCTCACCTGCAGGTCAAAGAACTTGCTGTATCTCCTGTAGATGACGTGAGAGCTGGAGTCGGAGTAGGTGACGTTGATGAGGTACACCTAAGGGAGAGGGAGGGCAAACAGAACACGGCCATTAGGGGAAGAAGCCACTCTGTCAAAGGCACTCACGGCGTTACTTAGGCCTAATGACATTCCTGACTGACTTAACTCCAGGAGGTCATATAAACCCATTAAGTTGGTCTGTCGTGGTCACGGATCACGGGCCGAGCAGCTACAGGGGTCAACAGGCCTGAAGTATTTCACGGATTTACTATGGTTAAATGGATATGTATTGTTGTTCATTTTAGCGTTGGATCCCTCGTGTCGATTTAAGTTTTTTTTAGTAGAGTAGAATCTTCATCATTAATTTCCTATGCATAACAATTATAGTAGATCAGGAAAGAACCAAGAGACATGGTCCAAAACAGCTGTGGTCTTGGAGGACTTTACTATGTTTTTGCATGTAATTTTCGACAGTCAATTCCTCAACAACAGATCAGAGAATCAAACAGTCCGAACACAGCAAATGCAATAATAAACACATAAGAACCATTGGTCCATGGGGAGCAGAGCGACCAATCCCGCTTCAGCAGAGGCCTTACAAACAGTGTGTCTAACAAAACCTCTGTCCGTGCAACAAAAATGAATAAAATGTATAGGTTTAAATGTATGTGGAATGTGTTTTCCTGTTAGAAAAACCTCATTTAAAGAGAATTGCTGCATGAAAGAAATTTGAAAAAAAATCTTGTATTTCTTCCATTGAGAGTTGGTGTGCGGTAAGTTGAGTGTGTATAGGCTTGTCTCTGAGGGGAACATCACTTTTTGGTAAGGGGCCATTTTAGTTCACCAGACTTGTCCAGGGGCCGACAACATATATTGTAAAATAGTTTGGACGGGATTCAGCGCCATTTGTCACGCAATCAAACACAACAATCCGCATATACAAATACAGCTGATGCCCCAGGGCCGCTCAAGTTCACCAGACTTGTCCAGGGGCCAACAACAAGGATTGTAAAACTATTTTGACTAGAATCATCCGATTTCAAGACGAGGTGTAGCAAGACTATTTTGATAATCCTTTTGCAAGAGAAAGTTAGCTGAAAGACACATGTTTACTTTCTCACCAGCTACATCAGTGCCATAGAATGAATTTACCGGAAAGGAAAAACAGAATTTGGATTCTGGAGGTTCTTTACTTTACAACAATGTACAGCATGACTATATTGGTGCAGCTGAAGTTGGCTGGATGACGCTGTGAAAGTAACTCAATGGTTAATTTGTGTTCTCGAGGCAGAGGTCCCACATAAAATGATGTTGTGAGCCTGATTCTAGTCATGCCTGCTCTATTCAGACTACAATCATGTACTTAATTAAAAACGCAACATGTGGAGAAGTAGACAAAAATAAATTTAACTTAATTTATATATTTAATTTTTTTTGTCCGTGTATTTGTCATTGTAACACATGAATCATATATATTATCATTACATTTGTGCAACATTAGCAAACAGCAACAGAAGGAAAACAAAATATAAATATCCTGTCCCTTTTTTGCGGTTTCCAAAGACATTTTTACTTCACCTGTCACCAAACTATAGCATCAAATATGGGTTTTATTTTTTTTATATTTTTTCAACATAACTTAGTCCTATACTAAAGGACTACGTTATACTAAGCTATACTAACTGAAGTTTGCAAACAGACGGCAGATGTTCCTCACTCCAAACTCATGGAACGCACCATTTACGGAGGCAAAACTTCACACATATGGTGTCGATCTATAAAGGAAACCAGTGAGCCTCTAAGATCTCTTCTGTTCATTTAGATCACAGTTTGTAACAATAAAAAAAAAAAGGATGTGAAAGCAGCCAGGCAAAATGAGTCCTCCTGCAGCTCGCTAATTAGACACAGACTGCATGACCAAAGAGAGGAGAAGAAGAAGTCGGAAAGGGTGACTGAGGGCGTTTGAGGGCAGTGGCTTAGGTAGAGGCAATAATGGAATAAAAATATATAAAAATTAGAGATAACAAAATAGACTTCATTGCGGATAATAATAATAATCACTATGTCTGGGAATCTCTTAGAACCATCACAACTAAAGACGTATTAACACTATAGACTCCCAGAATACAAACTACTACAACTCCCAGAGCAGTCAATGTATGACCTTTTCATCTACGTACAGTATATGTACTTCTTTTCTATGTCATTCTGTTCATGATTTTTTTTATGTGAGGTTTTCCCTTTAACTCCATTCTCTGGAATTTGCTAGTTACCATAGCAACACACCGTTTATTGCAGCAGTTAGCGTTTAGCCTTTTAACAAACTGTTTTTGGTTTGAATGGGAGCAGTCATAATGACGGCACTGAGAGTTCTAATAGTTTCAGAATTCTGGGAGTCCTAGTGTCAAATATGTATTTATTTATTCCTTTATCATATAAATACATAAATCGTGTTAAATATGACAAGTTGTAGAAAAAATCTGTCTCAATAAGTATTTCAACAAAGGTTTCAGACCAAATATGGAATGTAACAACCATTGTGTCACTGTTTGAGCAACAAAGAGAGAATAGTTGTTTTAATTCTAAGTCCGCGTGCCTGTTTGTGGTCAAAAATGCTCATAAATGTATCGAAAACAATAGGTTGAGGTTCAGTCCCAGCTTGAACCAGTCACTGGGCAAGACACTTCTTTCTCTGCTGAGTGTGAATGTCATTTAGTGAACAAAAAAAGACCATTTTACATCCACATGAAGCAGTGAAGAAGAATCATAAGGATCAAAACCAACATCATCAACATCATAGTGATGTCAGAGCAGCATCATCAGTCGGAAGCAAAAAGTTTATTTGGCACAACAGCATTTTAAAAGTTTAGTTTAGTTCAGTATTCTGAATAGAGGGGTCATATAAGTGGACATTATACTTTTGTAAGCGTACATACTAACTTACATGGTATAGAAAATACTAGAAAATATAGAAAATATTTCAAAAAGGTATTGTAAGCCAGCATAATAAACTACAACTAACAGAAATATGTAAATTGACTTGAATCTATTTCTGTAAATAAATGTACTGTTACAATGTGGCGTTTGCAGATGTGCTGTGTCCTCTGTCTGTAAACACTGCTCTGCTCCATGAGATCTCTGAAGGAAGTGACACTCCAGCAGCAGCAGGGCCACCAGACAAAGGGATTCTTCTTTCCTCTCCACAGACCAACCGGATAAGCATTTTCTGTTGCTTAGCTCATCGATAATGAGATTTTATTTTTTCATTCCCTGTGGGGACTTCCCAGTGTCCCTCCTCACCTCCTGTGTGCTCTCAGGGGACCGCCCCATGCAGTGGCCTCTGTCCCCTGCTGCAGGACCCCTCTGCAGGAGATGGAGGCAGCAATTGATTCCAACTCTCAGGTTAATTAATCCAATTTCACCTCCTGGACTAATAGATGCTTGCAGTTCCTCTGAGAGTCGTCTCATGGCCAACTAGATTTGATTACTCTGATCACTGGTCATTAGGAAGCCAGCAGAACATGCACTCTGTAAAGCACTTAAAGATTTGTAGATGTAAAAATACTCTACACATAAAGTTGGAGTGTACTTGCAGTAGTCAGAATGCAGTAGATGATCTCTTAAGGTATGCAACTTGTTTACACGAGATAGAAATCATAAACTTGTTCAAATACTCACATAGTGCTTGGATGGGTTCCTTCTCTTCTGAACATCCACCACGTTCACGTCAAGAATCGTGCGTAAATGCATGTTTTACAAGATTACAAACTTGATGCTCACCCATAAAACAGCATTAGAAACGTAAAAACAGGTTCGCCTTATAAGGAAAGCGCGTGAGTGAAGTTTGTCCACGCAAAAAAACAACAACTTAAGAATCAACTGTGAAACACATGCGTCGTTGGGTTGGGAGTTTGCAGACTGCCGCGGACTGTGGACAGAAACATGACAGCGCAATAAAAGTGGCGTTTCATCAGTGATCTCCTCCCCGAGTCAGAGGGGCTGGGCTCCGGGCCGTGTCAATGCACAGGGCGGTCCCACAGCTGGCTGCAGGATCTCCCCTCTGTGGTCGTCCTGCAGCCTGGAGCCTAATCTCTGGGGGTTGCAATGAAGGACCGAGGTGGGCACTGAGAAATGCTGTTTTGAAAGACGTTTAGTAAACAAATGGCCTAAGTGTGCTCTGCCCAGCTTTACCCTGATCCGTGGAACTCACTTTTTCCAGTCTGGAGCGGTTGGTAATAAGGTGTTTGCCTCCTCCTGGTGGATAAACCTGCGTCTTCCTGCTCAGGCTCTAATGCAATTTTCATGTTTTTAAGAGCAAAAGATACCGTTTGATTAATATTTACTATATATTATTTATTTATTAATTTACTAGAAAAACTCTATTCATTATTTAGTTGTATTATTATGTATTATTGTTATTATCATGTATTGTGTCATAGTCCTTTTACTCTAACATTTCAATATTTTACTTTTTATGATGTTAGTGTCCCCAGTGTTTCTCTGTATCCTTTGCACTTGGACCACTCCAAGTGTCACCTGTGACAGTGGGGGTCTGGCTCATGGACCTGGTGGAGGTCTGGAGCGTCGGGGTCTTCTCTCCTCTGGGTCCAGCGTCCCAAACTGTAAATCACTTTATGTTGCTTTTTTTGAATGAGAAGCGATTCATGAATATTTTGATTTGAGGTCCATGTTCATTTAAGCCACACGGGGGCGCCAGATTATCATTTCAATATGTGGATATGATATATATACTCTGCGTTTGAATTCAATAAAAACGGCCCCTTTCACACTTTTACATTGAATTGTATATCTAGATTTATCTCAAATGTTTATCCTTGGCCTGCCTTGAGCGTTCAGCGCACATGGACATCTTTTCAGGATATATAGACTAAATATTTGTTTGTTCTCGAAGGCCTGATCAAGTTTTATAGGACACAATCCTCTTTTACCTTGCCCTTTCAACAACAGTAGTAAGTGCGCGATGGAGACAGCAGAGGCAGAGCTGAGCACGTCCTGCCAAAGCTTTTAGCAAAACGACACCGCTAACTCCTTTTGGTAAAGCTAGGATGCGGGAGCGAACGGAAATCCTCTGTGTATTTCCAAAATAAAAGCACGTAGACTGATTTTTTTATTTTAAAGCAGATAAGTTACTGCACACACAAAATATAGACATACGCATACGCTATGCTTTACATTTAAGTCCATGTGTGAATAATAACCACGATAAATTATCGATCATTACACTCAATAGTTTTATTTTGATGTTCACAAGCGGAAGTTCAGTACAGTGCGTTCTGCTTGAGAGACTCCGCTAACTTCTGCGTGTGGTCACCAGGCAGCCGATCCATGAGGTCCTTCTCGCCTGGCCCTTTTTTCCTCATTAAGCCATGAATAGCGACGCGTGATGCCAAACAATGTAAATTGGCTTGATCGTCACCCCGTGGACACGTTTGTCATCCAATCCTAGAACGACAGCCAAGGCGGAAAACAAAGTGCTCTTATTTGGCCACACCGCCGGTTACGTATTGCAAAGGGCTTTACGCTAGCGATGCTGTGATCAGGAAATAACATGACATAGCCTCATCTGAGAATGTCAATATCCGCTGTTTCTCACACCTCACTGCTGTTATTTCGATAGGCACTCGGAAGGAACCGTTACGTTTGGTGCGAGGTGGTGGAAATAGCAGTGAAGAAGAAGGAGAGGGCAGCTGCAGAACATGTCTTTCTTCAATTTCCGCAAGATCTTCAAGTTTGGACCGGATCGAAAGAAGAAAAAGTACGAGCATGTGCACAGAGATGTCAACCCGGAGGACATATGGGACATCATAGGAGAGCTGGGAGATGGCGCCTTTGGTAAAGTCTACAAGGTAATGATGCACCACGCAATCTGCTCAGCCATAGCAGGGAGATTGTTATGAATGTGCTATTACTGCTTTAATAATGCCAACAGGGGGTAAGCTACACCTCTAAACATGTATTTCTATTCCACATTAGGAAGCTCTAGTAGTGAATGGGCCCATATAACTGCTTTCACTTTGTGTGTCATAAAAATGTGGCCAAAGGCTGGTGATAAATCTTTTAATAACTAGGCGGAATGAATGTTAGAAGCTAAAGCAGTGAACACACCTGCTTATAACTATTCAATTTTAGTGTCATTTGCTAAAATGTGTTGAAGCCAAGGTGTGGTTCATTCAAGGCAAGGCAATATTAATTGTATTGCACATTTCATAAACAAGGCAACTCAAAGTGCTAAAAAAGCAAGATGTACAAGGAATTTAAATCATAAATAATCACAGTTCATGAAAAAAGAATGACGATAGAATCCTTCTGTTGTATGCACAGCTTAACAGAATTGTTTTGTATTTGAACGTTGTCAGAGTCAAAGCCTGTCTCACTTTTTCAGGAAGACACTTCCACAATTTAGGTGTATAAATCTGAAACGCTGCCTTCTCATGTTTAGTCCTGACTCTGGGCACCAGCAGGAGGCCAGTCCCTGTGCTCCTCAGAGTCCTCCTTGGTTCATATGTCACCAATGTACTTTGGTGCGAGGCCATGACATGCACACAAAAGTATATTCTCCATTCTTTGCTATGTTAGATAATATAGACTGTATTTATAGTAAATTGTGTAATAGAATGGTTTATCCCATTGAGCAGTTATCCATGTCCTTTGGAAGCAGGAATTTGGTTTAACTGCTGCACATTTGCGTAGATGGAACAGTTGGCTGAAGTGGAAGACAAACAGGTGCCTCGATGCAAATGTTGGTGAATGTGGTCATGTTTTTCACTTACAGGCTCCGAACTGGAACTGGCAGATATCAACCACATCAAATAAAAAATGTATCTTGGTTCAATCTCATTTGAATGATTTTATTTTTGAAAACAGGGGATGGCTTTCACTATTGATTCACCTGACATAATTGATCAATAAGACTTGTACAATACTTGACAATCATGAAAAACATAATGTCCGAACAGAAATTACTGCCTGTAACATATAATCACATAAACCTTACAATTAGGCATGACTGGATCTCTATTCTAACTCCTGTCCAACCCTCTTAATAATCACATTTTCCAACTACAAAACACACATGAGCCAATGGAAACTCATGTGGTTCTTTTGATAAGTCACCGGTGGAACTGTCACTTTCTCTGCACCAGTGATGTTATTGTTTGGTGAAGGTAGGAGGAAATTTCACATGCTTTTGTCAGCAGCCTGATTTGGGCGGGGTGAAGAAGATTAAACGTGTGAATCAGCTCTTTCAACTTTCTTCTAAGCTTCTAAATAGTCATTAAATTAGTCTAAAAATAAATAAAGTAATTGTTTTCTCGTTTTTCCAGTCCGGCCATAATACTTCCCCAAACCGTGCGACTGCTAAATATTATTACTCACTTTATGGTCACTTGGAAAACTACGCCTGCTATCTATCTAATTTTCAAACAAAATGATAAGAGTTGTCAGCTAAGCAAAATATATAACACTTTGTAGTTAGAGGAAAAGATATGATCACAGTAAGTCCATTGTGATATAAATGACAGTGCCAAACAAAAGATATGGGATTAAAGGGGAAAGCAGTGTACGCAAAACAGCGGGAGCACAAATGCTTAGAGACTAAAAAGAATTTACGTCTATTCATAAACCTCATATTCATCTTAATGTTAATGAATTCAGTCATCTCGAAGCAACATAGCAACACAATGCGGTTGCCAGGCCAGAAATTATGTAAATAAAGACAATGACATAATACTCAATAGCAGCGCTCTCCCATTTCACTTTCCCTTGATACACCCTGACAGTGGCCGTGTTCGTAGTGAAGGATTCAATTCAGTTTATATTTGTATGACCCTAAATCACAACAGCAGGCTTCGTCTCAGAGGACTTTACAAAGTTATCACAGAATCAAACCACAAACCACAGGAAATGCAATAATAACAAACACATGGGAGCTATTGGTTCTTATGGAGCAGGATAAATGTCCATAAATGTTGATAAATGTCCTTAAATGTCTCAGATCATCACTGTCCTTAGACCTTAGACCAGGCGTCTCCAACATTTTTCACCCAGAGAGCTACTTTCCCAAGACAAAAAGAACAGAGAGCTACTCCTTTAACCGGTCCTGGGAAAAGTTAGGTGATATATTGGTGAGAGCCCGATAGTGCGTGGTCATTATCATAAGTCATTATTTATCATCATATATTCAATACCTTTGCACAATGATCATAGTTAATAATACATGATGAAATATTCAATTTATTATTTGATTGGTTCATTTTTAAATCCTTTGGCGAGCTATCTGGAAGGGGGTGGCTGCCCTAGACTGTCCTGCATTGACAAGGAACGACTCAGGAGGCAGATAATAACCAATATGTAGAGCCAATATTATTTTGAAACTTAATGTTGAATGTCTCACCCATCTTCAATAGTACAAGCACATGTTTTACTTATTAAAACAAATAGCAAAAAAAAAAAAAAAATAGCCTCCACTGTATAGACTTTTGACTTTTGATGTGGTTTTATCTAAATGAAGCATCCTGTGATTGAAGTCAGGAAGCAAAATGAACTAAACTAATCAGAGCGTTTGTTTACGTACTTGTGCACTATAGTAAGTAGGACTCTCACAGCACGAGGGGCAGCTGTTGTGCGTGCAGAAGACTATATGTGTGTGTTTTTAGTTTTGTTGTGTCATTGTTTCAAACCGAAGGTCAGACAAGACTAAAAAACTAAAAAGATAGCAAATGTATTGACCGATATTGACCATGTTATAGTCATGATAGTTTTTTAATGTTTACATATCTATAAACCAGTAACTACCGATCCAGCTTCTCATGTCAATGTCGATGTCAATACTATCTGCTTCTCCTCAATATAAACCGATACCAGTGAAGAAACTGAAAACAGCCTCTTTTCTCCATCTGAAATCACAGCTAACTTGTTACCAAATGGGTCCAATTGTGTAACTGTTATTTCTCATGCGAGTAACTACACTATAGGTCAACTCTGTATGAGTAAGATTCTTGACGTCTTGTGCTAATGTAGATCAGCCATCTCCAATACCAGTGTCATATTGATGCATCCCTTATTGAAACCAAATCTATTTTTTCAATGACTGTGATTATCTTGGAAGGAAATGAGGCCTGGAAGCCAACCTTAATGAAATATCTATTCATATGTTGTTATTTCACAATTTTTTATGTATAATTTGTTGGTAGGCTTGTAGCACACATCTCTTTACCTTACAACTAGGGATGTAAATCGGCAACCGTTTAACCGGTGGTTGACCGTCACAGCGTTAACCGGTCAAAGCTGTCGGTTAAAAAAGAGAAAAAGGGGAGAGGGGAGGTCTCTTAATAACGCTATTTTAAGCCCTATTTGCACGGTGTGACGAGCGGGTCTGTATCTAGCTGTGTGCGCCAATGTATTATAAACTCCGGGACGACTCTCACACCGCACGAGCCACATATGCACACACGCACGCGCGCGCGCACACACACACACACACACACACACACACACACACACTTTCCCCCTCTCCATACGTAACATCCACACGCATCATCTCTCCCCTCTGTTACCGTCAAAGTTGCACACTGGCGCGGGTCAGAACTACATTGGAGCTTACATTTACACACACACACATATACATACACACACACATACACACATACATACACACACACATACACACACACATACTGGTCTGTCGCGCTCCTCTGTGTCACGGAGCCCAAAGGATTCGCGCAAATACGCGGCTCCAGTCAAACCACATGGAACATGTTTGTGTTTATGGTCCTCGGGATCAGCTCCACACACATCACTTGTATTTAAACTTTTGTGAAGACCTGTGAGACGCGGCTCGTCACTCGCTGCTCTGACCATGTGAACGAGCCGTCGTTTGCTGCTAGAAAGTTTTGGTATTAACCCGCAGCACAGCAGAATGGGAAGATTAAAAAAGCAGTTCTCTGTGCGCAAAGGTGCCGGAGCTGTTGCGGGTTTGGGCGCCGCTGTCTCAACTCTGATCCAGTAGAACGCAGAGCTGCACTTATGAAAAGTACGCGGCTCGAAATGGCTGTTATTTCAAAGAACGTGGACTATTTTAAACTACGCGGTTAACCGGTTTCAACCGGTTAATGAGGCTTGGTGGTCGGTCATGAAAATTCATAGTTTTTACCAATGGTGTAGGTTTGGTTCCAATCTTGGTGGGGACATTCACTACAACCCTTCTATACTAAACTCAGCTGTAGACTGAATGAGAAGCAGTTAAGGATTTTTTCTAATAGTTAAAACAAAATCAATTGGATCAGAGCTTCTGAGTTTTGTGTTGCGTTCATTCTAACTTTGTCCACAAGATGGCTTAAATGTTTATAGTAAATAAGATAGTAAATATATCCTGTATTCAGGATCAGGCTGATATGGTTTACAACCTATCTCAAATATGCTGTCCCTGGCACTTTCTTGAGAGTGACTCTCATTGGCTGCCTCCTAAATAGCAAATACACTGTTATGAAACATTAAAAAATCCCATATTTTATCTTCATAATTCCAGCCTCACCTGAAGCCCAGCTTCGATATCTGCCTGCACTACATCTTCCCTGAATACCTGAGTTCCCTATAATAAATAAAACACATGTAGTACATTAAACAAATCAGATCTAAGCATATACAAAATAAAACCACCAACAAAACCAAATAAATACTTTCAACCTCACCTGAAGCCCTGAAGGTCCAGCCACTTCCTCATCCTCTACCAGCACTGCACATTCCCTGTTTGTCTGACTTTCCTTTATGGTATTAATAAAAACACACATTCTACATTGAATAAAATGAAACCTAGGCATGGTACACCAGTCGCTAAATATCTCATGAAACTAGAATTGTTGATGGGTCTAAGATTATAACTGCTTAATCCTAACCTCACCTGGAGTCCTGTCTTGTCCTTGTCTTTATCTCCTTCTTGAATTTCCATTATATCTCTCAGAGTGTCCTATATTTAGTAAAAGATTTCAGACAACACTTTTTTCATCATTATAGTAGTAAAATATGTTGTAATTGGCATAGGTAATTTCCAACCAAATGATGTTCTTTAACTTTAGTATGATTCTATACTGAGTTAAACCTAATCCAAATCTACATAATAGCCCTCACCTGAGGCTCTAACAGTTCAGGAACTGCTCTCGATACTTGAAAATAAATCATGCTCTGATCTTTCAATTTCCTATAATAAATAAAAACAGAGGAGAAAATATTGAATTAGAATCTACAGTGAGTAGCTCACTACATTGTTTGACATATACGATCAATCTCTAAAAACAATTCATAGTCCCATGCATACCTACAAAATTCCAACCTCACCTGATGCACTGAAGGGCCTGTTGCTTCTACCTCAACATTCCCTATATTGTTCTCTCTTGTTGGTTGAGTTTCCTATGTATGTTAACAGAAGATTAATCATCACAATTCATAATTTGCTATTACTTGTGCTTTCACTTACTTACTTTCCAACTGTTAAAAAAGCTCCTGATATCTTTTATCTTTTTTTGTGGAGGTGGCATTTTTTCTAAATTATATAAGAAGGTATAGACAATCAAAAACAGACATTCATATACATGAACTGCAGAATCATTTATATAACTTGGCCAATGTCAAAAGTTACGTAGTATTTCTCAATACAATGAGTTAACAAGAGTTTGGCAATAAGTAACAGTGTGGATTTTCTTTTTTTATTCTACTCTCAACCCAAAAAGGCAAGTAATGACTCACAGGGCTCTCAAGTATGCAAAGTAAAAACTTAAATGACCTGTTGTGGTGTGTTTTGCGCACAACCAGCATGCATCGTTAACGCAATGGAAAATTTAGGTATCCGAGCTTTAATTTCGGGAGCGCTGGTTGCGCTTTGGGAAGAGTCAGGGGAGAGACCTGTCAGAGACACAGGGGAGAAACGGGGGAGATACGAGGGAGACCCGCACTTGCAACATGGTTCTGTCTGCATATGGTCCGAGCTCGGTACCATGTTAGAGCTCTGCTTTCACTGAGCGCCGCGGCTGTCATTACAAAGCGGCAGCAGCTGCACCAGGACGTGCACATTCGAGTGCATCGCTTGAATGTGCTTAGAGCAAATAACAGCAAGTGCCCGCTGTCACACATTTCACAGAAATTACATTATCAGCAGATAAAGGTTGTAAATCGTGGATCCGTGGAATATTTTCATCCCTAGTTTATCCTGATTCACACAACACACCCACTTATACATTTTGGATAGTAAGAGCACAATAAGTATTTTTTCAGCCTTTCAACCAACCTGTTTCTTTATTGGAGCCAGTTCTGTTCTGTCTCTGTGCCGTGTGAGCTCCTCGGAACATTAAACAGTGCACTGACAGATTAGAAATAACGTAAGTACTTTGAATGGTAATAGATCTACAGTACTTTCCTCTGATTACTCACGTGCTACAACGCTCAGGGAACGAAAAAAAACCACTTGCTTCACGCTGGCTAACTTTTAAAAATTAAACAGTCGCTCAGTGCTTCAGTTTGGCGCTGAAGAAGACAGCCAATCACTGCAGAGAACGGAACGGGTCACGTGCTGCTGCTGTTGCTCTGGAGGCGAGGAGGAGGCGCGACGTATGCACAAACGGAAGACATGTGTCCCGGACCGTCCGGGTCACGGGACATCATGTCATTTTGGTGGGGACTTTAGTCCTCACCAAATATTGGTGGGGACATGTCCCCATGGTCCCCACGCAAACCTACGCCCTTGGTTTTTACATCCCTACTTACAACAGAGAGGATGGAGCAGTATCTTGACCTCTCATATCTTCTATTGTACACCATAATTGCATGTGTCTCACCTTTTCGTTTGTTTGTCCTCGTTTCCCCAGGCTCAGAACAAACAGAACGGGACTCTGGCAGCGGCCAAGGTTATCGACACAAAGACAGAAGATGAGCTGGAGGACTACATGGTGGAGATCGACATCCTGGCCTCCTGCGACCACCATTACATCGTCAAACTGCTGGACGCCTTTTATTTCGAGGGGAAACTTTGGGTGAGTGCGTGACTTTAAAAAAAGAAAGTTTCCCGCTGATGTGTTGAAGTTGATGGGAATCCGAGGAGACAGGTTGAAGTCAGGCGAGGAGAGGCGTCAATGAATCAAGCCGGGGGCTGTGTTCCAGGTGGGGCTGTGGTTCCATTTGACAGAAATACAACTGTCTGATGCAGAGCTCCAGATAATCAAAAGTGTGGGAATTCATGTGGATCCAAGGTGATACAGCTATGGTTCATTATCAGACTGACTCATACTATTCAATCTATAGCCTCATTCACACTGAAGAAAAATAGGGACATTTCGACCAAAAACTCTGAGGTCTTCTTTACACACTCTGCTTTGGATCACTTATAGCATTTTTGACTGAAGGCCGAAGCTACTGACACCGTGGCAGCTGCTGATTGGACTATCTATGATTCCTTCATGGTATAACATCACATGCAAGCTCTGTTGGTATCTCTTTACCATCAACAATAAAACATGTCTTCTCATTTTTGACAAGCGACACGAGCTGGTGTGTCAGACCAACTCGGCATTTAACCCGGCTTTTGACCATCTCTTTTTGCAGAGGTTTTATAGCCTGTTGCTTACATGTGGATCAGGTGAAGAAGGTCACAAAACTACACACGAGGGACAGAACTTTGCACAATGACTGCGTAACTAGACACATAGAGGAAAGCTCTCGCCATCAGAGTTTGTGATACTTGGACGTGGATGGTTAGCTTTCCTTTGGCCGTTATAACCCGATTCCCTCTGGTCCTGGGTCTGTGATTTTAGACCAATTTGGAACGTCAGCCTTTTTTTTTTCTACATTTTTATTCTCACACTTTCCTGTCTTCTCCCTTGGTGAAGAGCCAACACTGGTCCAAACAACACGCCACACTTTCTCACTGTTTCTGCAGGTTGAGACGGCATAAAAAAAACATTAAAACTGTTAAAATGTTTCTGCAGTGGGAAACATATTTCTTGTGGACGGAAGATACTTTTCATCCAACACCAGCGGCATTAGGAAGGTTCAGACTTATAACTATAACTAATTGTTTGTTATTTTAGCAGATTTTAAACATAAGAAAGAAGAATGTGAAATTATCATTCCCCACTGCAGACCCCCTGGCAATATTGGTCTTGCATGTATTCAACACATTGTTTACTAGAGGTTGATGAATATGTTTTTAATTTTGGGCCGATACTGTTTAATTAAGTTAACGAGGCCAACACCGATATATAGAACTGATTTATTTGCAGTGAAAATATTGGTTGTAAAATTGTTAAATAATGCATAATCCTGAGCACAGCTTGACAAAAACAACTCAATATCACTTTTATTGCACATATACTCCACTTGTATATTGCACTCATTCATATTAGATCCATAATGACAATAACCTGCTTATAGATTAACTCAAAAGGTGTAAACATTTAAGGAAATTACCCCTTCTTTAAAAGCTACAGTACAATCTATAATGACGAAGTAATGGCTGCTGGTTTTCTAACGACGTTTCAAATCAATAACTTTGCACAGTGGGGGGTGACCAGTTCTGGGGCGTCCCTTTTTAGCAATGCAATAGATTTCTTTTGTTCTCGGCTCATTACAATTCTGCAGCCCACTTCCCTGCTGGGCCCTCTACGTGTGCCGGCCTCCGTTTTTCTCAAGAAGTGAATGCACTCTGTTGAAGTTTTATCAATACACATTCAATGACAATCTCTTTTTCACATACAGTGTTCCTGAATCGGTATTGTAGCCCAGACAGTCAGGCTGATTTCAATAGCCCCACCGGATGTCAAGGCTTATTATTACAAAACCCCACTTCTTCTCGCATAGCGTCTTCGACCTGGTTTTTGCCCGTAAACACAGCGGTGTCTATTCTCCCGGTCAATGCAGCGCAGTGGGGCCGCGGTCAGTTGATCGTGTTCGGCGTGTTTGTAAGAGGCTGGAGCCATTAGGTCTTGGCAGGTGGTGTCATGTGACCGTCCCTTGTGGACTGACCACAGCTATAGGAAAGATAATGGAGTGGTTTTGGTGGCCAGTGAAAGCACCAGTGAATAATTCAGCGGTTCACGCAGGTTGGCAGGGCTGCGTCTTGAAGCTTGCGTGATAAATCCAAGTGCTGCTGGATACGGAGATGATGGACTGCAACCTGGTTTGTGAAAGTGGTTTCTAAGTGCCTTATTAAAAGCGCAATCTTATCAATTCCTCAGTCAATATTTACTTGTAATGCACATTTAAAAACAGCCAAGGCTTACCAAAGTGCTGTGCAAAGTGGAAAACAATAACAGTAAAAACTCATAAAAATATAGCAAATTTATGGATACACAAAAACTTGTCTCACACTACCTAGCCTGGTCGTACCACACCATTGTACAAATTACGTTACATGCTGAGAAATGATGATTGACCGGAGTGTACGGAAGGCCAGGCTACATGCTATCTGTTGTTAAAAGCCAAAGAGAAAAGGTGTGTCTTAAGCAGGGATTTGAAGTGAGCCGTTCTAAGGTGCAAAGAAAAATAATAAATTTGGCACAGTGGCAGGTTCAAATCTCAGTCGAAACAGTCTTTCTGAGTGGCGTTTGGATGTTTTTCATCCGGCTGCTCCAGTTTCCCCTACCACTAACAACATGTACATGAGATGAGATGAGTTGTCCGCTGAACGTTTTGATGTTTATTCATTGAACTCTAATTTCCCCACTGTGGGACTGATGAAGGCTTTTCATTCATTCAATAGGTAAACAAAAATTCAGTTTACTACAGCAACCACTGCTCCTGACAGAGGTCCTAGTGGAATTGGAAAGATGGGTCATAAGCAGAGGACAAATTTCCCCACAGGGATAAAATAAAGTGTTCCTTAAATATGGTTGTCCATTGAGTGAATTGAATTAACAGTTTATTGACAGTAAAATGCATTTGTCACATCTTATATAACAAATAGAAAGGATTACTGGCATGTACATTTGCATCAAAGCCAAACCGGCATATCCAGTCTTTACAGTTCAGACTAGGGCGGTGCGTGGTATAGCTGTGATTGATTTTCTCCTATAATTTGATCCTATGTGAGGCAGTTTTCCCGATACAGACAGAGTAGTATGTCGCGTAGTGTTGAACAACTGGGGACAGGCTCTGTTTCATGTCTCCATAACTGTGTAATGTGATTTTACACACAGCACACCAGCAGCGTCATATGCTCCTATTGAGGAATTCTTTTTCACATTGAGCCAGAAGCCAACCAACTATACGCAGAGGGTTTAAAGGGTGAAATGTTTTGCCCGAGGACACAATCACAGAATGCAAGGCTAAGTACCATGTAGCGTGGATTGAAAGGCCGTGTGATTAGCTATGGTTATGCATACACAGGCAGTATTTCTCATTAAAAGAGTGTGTGTGGCCCCTCATAGTCTATTGTAGTGGTGGAAAAACTCAGGACCGTGAGCCATATGCGGCCCTTTGGAAGTTTCTATAAGGTCCTTGAACCCTCCTCAGTTCATGTAGATATTGGGCCTCATTCACGAATAACTTCGTAAGAAACTACTCAACTTTCTTCTCAAGTTGTCCTTAAGTAGATTTCTAAGAAGTCCCCACGTGGGATTCATCAACGCACTCGTAAGCCGCTGAATTGTTCGCAGCTGTTCTCTCACATTGATGAATCCCATTTCCTCGTAAGTAGAGCGCGCGTGCCAGGTGCTTCATTAGCATAGGTACTTAGCATAAGTAACCGCCCACTAATGCCCATATAAGGGACTGCAGGGCCGTGTGCAGACGGCAGAGGAAACAGCAACAGGCCTTTACACGGAGCAAAAGTCACCCTTTTTTCTTCTTTTACCAGACTGAGAATAAAGTTATAAAATGTTGACTTAAAAGTCGAAATATTATGATAATAAAGTCGAACTAGCAAAATTATGAGATTAATCTAAGAATATGATGAGATTAATCTCAAAATGTTATGAGCTTAATTTAAAAATATATTATGTATTATTTTAAAGATGAGTCTCAAAATGTTTTGAGATTAATCTCAAAATATTTTGGACCCTGGGAGGAGATCCAGCGCAGACCAGCGCTGAGACCAATGCAGACCCGAGGAGAGACTGGAGTGACCAGCACACAGAAACCAGCGCGGACCTATAGGAGAGACCGCATAGACTGGAGTGACCTGACTGGAGAGACCGCATAGACTGTAGTGACCTGACTGGAGAGACCGGTGCGCAGAGACCAGCGCGGACCGAAGAGAGACCGCATAGACCAGACTTGAGAGACCAGCGCGGATCCGTATGGAGAGACCAGTGCAGACCAGTATAGATCCATGGGAGAGACTAGTGCAGACCCGTATATGGGAGAGACCAGTGCAGACCCGTATAGATCCATGGGAGAGACCAGTGCAGACCCGTATATGGGAGACACCAGCGCAGACCCGTATAGATCCATAGGAGAGACCAGCGCAGAGACTCAGCGCGGACCCAGTAACCTCCTGCAGCAGCAGTATATATGCCGTTGTTCTGTGGCCCGTGGATAAAGAAATGCCCCCTATAAATAGGAAGGGGTCACTAATACACGGCAAGATTTACAATGTATTTGATAAAGCGTTGGCACATTTCATTTCAAAATGAATTAAAAAGTAGGCCAGATCTGGAGTGAAAAAGGCGGTATATAAATAAAGATTACTAATAAAGATTACTACAAATAAATAAATACATACATCGATATGACGGACATATCACTGGAATGTTGTATTTTTATTCAACTTCACCAAAGAGGACAACCCCGGCGTGTGAACATGTCGGCACTGAATGCGTACGAGTGCTCCTGAGGACTCGTAGGATTTGTACTTGCCCAAGAGAAATTCTGGTTACGAGAAATATTCGTGAATGCCACTTTCTTCGTAAAAACCGCGTAAGTAGGATTTACGTACAAATCTGTTCCTAAGAACCGTTCGTGAATGAGGCCCATTGTCTACAAGACTATAAAATAGCAGTCGTACTCCTTGCTCTGCCATGATCTACAAGATGAGAAAAAAATTGGAAATTAACTCTGGCCCCGATAGGAGGCTGGTATTCCAATGTGGCCCTCATGAGGAAAAGCTATCTTGCAGTGAGTAAAAAAATACATTTAAGACAATCACAACACATCCATGACAGAGAGGGCAACACAAAAGTGTAAAATAAGGGGAGGACATAAACCACAATGATTATTATTAAAACCAAGGCATGTAGTACTTGACCTTAGGGCTGCACGATATATCAAAAAAATATCGTTATCGCAATTCGGTGTATTTCAATTCAATTCAATACTTTATTTTGGACACAAGAGTAAAAGGTCCATACTAGAAGACACACACACTAAAAAAGGCTCTGAAGCCAGTGAGTCCATATACTGGAGAAATAACGCACCGAGCTCAGACCTGGGTTGGTCAATGCAGCAATGATGCTGTTGACAGAGTGGGACATTATTTTTTTCCTTTATTAAAGAGAACAGAACAGACAAACACAACAACATTCGACAAGAACATCAAACAAACAAAAAATATATAAATATATGCATTTGAAGGTCATTAATGTTTATGCTTATTTTTTGTTATTTGTCTCTTGCGTTTTAATGCAGATTGCAATTTTAGGTGGGAGACAAAAATATCGCAATAATATCGTTATCGCTCTAATTTCCAATATCGTGCAGCCCTACTTGACCTACGCGTTATGATATGGGATTAAACTGTGGAAGTGGAAATAAGCCTAATTGACTCACAAGTCAGAGATGCTGCTGTAGACTGTGATTTAATTTTGCGTGATTTAAAACAGATTAAATGTAACCAGTTGTTTCTTCCCCCCTAATTGCCGTACCTTTCTTGTGCCTTTCAGATCCTGATTGAGTTCTGTGCGGGCGGTGCGGTGGACGCCATCATGCTGGGTAAGTCCTACACGCCACTAATAAGCAGAGTATAAAGCACTCGCACGGGTTTCCTCAAGTGGACTGCCTTTCATGGTGCGTTTTGTTTTGTTTGGCTGGTCGTCCTTATTTCCTTTTCCCAGTGCTGCGGCCATTCTCACTGCGTAATTATCGTTGCTAAAATTTCAAGGAATGTTTGCCCACTTCTAAAGCCTGTACTTGCCCATACAAAGGTGCCTCCGCTCTGTTGTTGTTTGCAAATCTACTCAATGTGTTGTGTTTGCAAATGAGTACCTGAAAGAATTAAAATATAGACAATGCGATAGTAGTATTGTAATCTTTGTTTGTGTTGCACAGAGCTGGAAAAGCCCCTGACCGAGCCCCAGATCAGACTGGTGTGTAAACAAACCTTGGAGGCCCTGATTTACCTCCACGAGAACAAGATTATCCACCGGGACCTGAAGGCTGGAAACATTCTGCTCTCATTAGGTGGAGACGTCAAGCTCGGTAAACGGCTAACAGTTCATCCCTCTTTCTTTTCTTTTTTTTTCTCCCCCTTAACTCGGGCAGAGTGAGACCTCCGCGCGAGCAGAGGGGGGGAATGACAAATGACCATACCGCCTTAAAGCTGCACTAAAGCTAGAAAATGAGGATGAAGTGGTCAGTGCATCTGATTGCTTCCTGCATAGGGATGGCTTCATCAGGGTTATAGGTAAATGAATCGGATTGGTCGGGTGGCCGTATTTATAAAACCGAGGTGGAATTCTTACTTTTAACAGCAAAACAACCGTCTTTAAAGGGACAGTATATAATATTTTCATTTTAAATTACATCTACATCATTCGTGTCTCCAGATTACAGGTCATGTAAAGTCATTTTTTAGCTTTACCCGAACAAAAGTAAGTTTTTCTTAATACAAAAAAGAATAGAATGAGGCTCCCATTTTGGTTTTGTGAAGTGAAATTTAGCTGTTTTGCCCTCTGTGGGACTTATAAAGGTATAATTAATTCATTGTTTGTATTATAACAAAATTCACAGTCAAAAAACAGCTAAAAATAGAGGGAGACCAGAGAGGGAGACCAGAGAGGGAGACCAGAGAGGGAGACCAGAGAGGGAGACCAGAGAGGGAGACCAGAGAGGGAGACCAGAGAGGGAGACCAGAGAGAGAGACCAGAAAGAGAGACCAGAGAGAGAGACCAGAGAGAGAGAGACCAGAGAGAGAGACCAGAGAGAGAGACCAGAGAGAGAGACCAGAGAGAGAGACCAGAGAGAGAGACCAGAGAGAGAGACCAGGGAGAGAGACCAGAGAGAGAGAGAGAGACATGCATTAAAGCACATACAAAAATAAGTAATCATACATAATATACATTTACAATCTAGCTAAACCCCAGTAGGTGCATTGCATCAGTAATCATGTGTGTGTGTGTGATTATAATGACTTTATTAGACTTACTGTAGCAGTTTTTGTGACCTACAGAGAAAAGCCAAATGCAGTGGAATCTTCCTTGTAGTCCACTTCCACTCAGCAGATTGGAAAATGCCCTAATACTCACAACGCACATATTCTAACAAAGCTTTTCTTTGTTTTCCTTTTTTGCGGGGAAATACCATGTTACTGCACTGTATACTGTATGTGAGGTAGAGGTTTAGGTGAATCACTACTTTAGCTATGTCTAGGAGAAAAATACGAACAGTTGCTTTTAGCTGCTGGTTCAGTGACTCATGTTCAGTGGGAAGCGGCTCATGACAAAGCTCTGCAAACTGTAATTACAAGAGAACAGGGAGCTAATGCTAGTCGGCTGTCTTTCTAATGAACATGACAGACGACCTCACATATCTGACACACAACATACAATTCTACCAATCTGTTGATGATTTCATTTGTTATTTCAATGCTGTGTTGGCTATTCTCTCAGTGGGCAAAGTGTGCATCTCTCAGGGCCAGCTCAGAGTATTCCATGAACAATTTTGTAGTTTTTTTGTATCCAGTGGATGGGCAGAGGGACCCCACGCAAACACAAGGACAACATGCAATCTACACAAGAAAGCTCTGCATGGTCTGGGATTGAAACCTGAAACCTGTGTGAAGGGAGGGCGGGCCACTAAGCCACCTGTGCAGTTTTGGTCTTAAGTGGGTAGGATGCACCAATTAGAAACTAGCATCGGATATGGGGGCAGATATTGGACATTTTGTTGGATCAGGTATCGATTGTTGTTGGTCTTTGAGTACCCCGGTGTGCACCAGTCAAAGGAGATAGTGCACACCAGAGTTCTTGCCATAGATAAGCAGTAGGTTTAACTTTCACTCATACAAACAAGCACACAATTGGACTGATTTGTTATGAGTTAGCTGAGATGCAGTCCCTTCACTGGTAAGGGGTCGTATCAGTTTATATTGGGTATTGGCAAAAGTTGAAGCCAAATATCAAGATTTGTTTCAGAGTTATTCTTAATACAAAATGCAGCAGATTTGATGAGAAAGCAGAATGATTCTCTTACTTGGGTTGCCAGTTTGTGAGGTAAAATCTAGCTGTTTTATCCACTGTGGGACTAATAAAGGAATCGTTCATTCTTTTTTCATAAAACAAAATTTACAAAAAAAAATTAAAATATAGAGAGAGATAGAGATACCATAGAGAGACCAGAGAGAGAGAGTCTGGTGTGCTCTGGCTCGGCTAAAATTAAAACCTGCAGCCACACTGGCCCTTTGAAAAAGACAGAATGGTGCATTTCTGTAAGTCTGCTTATTTACATATACAGTACTGACTAAATGAAATCTACAATCAGAAAGCTGTCATATTTTTCTTCCATTGCTCTATAAAACTAATTCGTATTTTATTGTTACGTTTGATCAATCGAATGTCTTTGTGCTCGCAGCTGACTTTGGCGTGTCGGCTAAAAATACCAAGACGCTGCAGAGAAGGGACACTTTCATCGGAACTCCTTATTGGTAAGATGTGAAATCTAGATACAAGAGGTCATTCCACAATTATCACCGTTTCTGGTGATAATTGTCTCTCAATTTCACAGCTCTGTGTCGATGAAATGATGTCAGGATTTAGGGCAAAAAAAATCTCCTCTTCAGAGTGAGTTAACCCTTTAAGCTCCAGTTTTGTTTTGGGGGTAAAACAACAAGGGAACAGACAAAAGGTTCTAACAGAAACTATTTTTTGTGCCAATCAAAAAAAAAACACATTATATTCACTAATTATTTTATTGAAAAGGGTTAGGATTAGAATTATAATTATTCTCAACTATTTCTGGCTTTGATTCAAGCAGAAGTACTAGTTTTAGATACAGATACTATTAATAATATGAATACTTAATATGTATAATGCACCTTACATGTGGCTTACCATTTTAAACCTGTTTACTGCTATTTTGTATCATTGTAAAATGTAAGGAGTAGAAAGGAGAGATAGTTGGGTTTAAAACGGCTGTTGAATCCCACATCAATATAAAACAGGGGTCGGCAACCTTTGTGACATGGAGTGCCAGAAAAGTGCCTTCCCATCGGGGAGTGCACTCACAGGATATTCTCCCTAAGAATTGGGACACCCCTGGATCTAGGGGACAATATGCAAATGACGCAGTAAACGCGTTCCACGTCACACACATTATCAAAGTGTCTGATTTCACCACAGATAAGATCTGACTCAGATATGACTTTATGAAATAAAGTATTTATTAAATTGAGACGTTTTTAAATCTATGTCATATGAAGAGTTTCTATAATTAGGTACAGAACTGCTGCACATCATACACTCATAGAGACAGACGCACACACACACACGCACACAGACGCACTTGTACACACACAGAGGCAGGCACACACACACACAGACAGACGTCTGTGTGTACAAACCATAAACTGTATATATTAATGGACAGAGTCACGCCTATCTCCGCCGTTCTAACTAAAGGGCCAAAAATAGTGCTCTACTGGAGCTATCCAAAATGGCCGCGAGTGGTCCCGCCCACAAGAAAATTGTGAAAAAACGCATCTGTGCATGCGTCAGCCGGCGCAACTCCATTCATTTGAACGAGAGACTTCAAAAATTCACAGCAAGTAAACTAGAGTGCTCCACAAAAATTCACCCCCCTCAGCATTGACACACATGTGGAACGCAGCTTTGGACCATCCTGTAAAGACGTGTTCCAGAGGTGTGCCAATGCTATATGTTAGCATTGGCTAATTCTTCTTCTGGGTCCACCCCCATCGGCCGGGGTGGTATTGCAAGCATGTCAGCGCACGTCATTTTGGCCACTTTTGAGCCGGGACCCGCCCCCACTGGTACAAACACACAGAGACAGACACATGTACAGAGACGTACACGCACATGTACATGTGTCCTAGTGTCGGCAGTCAAAAGCGCACAGACAAAGAGGCAGATGCTTTTATTTTTAAAACAGGACAGATAAAGTGAGTATCGCAATAATACTGAGGTGCCAGCGTGTCAGTGTTTATTCCGCGGCGTGCCTCCCGTGGCACACGTGCCATAGGTTGCCGACCCCTGATATAAAACCATTGATTACTTCAGCTCCCGATCATATTAATCTTCCTGAAAATTTGAGACAGGCTTCTACTCTGACAATGTTCAAATCCAGACTGTGCAAATAACTGAAGGATTCTTAACTTTTCAATGTAGTTATTATTTATGATTTGAAGGCCTTGCGTCCCTTGATAGTTTCTAAGTTGCTTTAGTGATGTCGCGCTTTGAGTTGCCTTGTGTTTGAACTGAGCTATACCAATAAACTTACCTGTCCTTATCTTTCTTTGCCTTTCGTCCCTCTTTGCCTTCCATCTGCTATCTTGTCAGGATGGCCCCTGAGGTGGTGATGTGCGAGACCTCCAAGGACCGTCCGTACGACTACAAAGCCGACATTTGGTCCCTGGGGGTGACCCTGATCGAGCTGGCCCAGGTGGAACCCCCAAACCACGAGATGAACCCCATGAGAGTCTTGCTCAAAATAGCCAAGTCGGAGCCTCCCACGCTGATGCACCCTTCGCGCTGGTGAGACACAGACCATAACAACAACACAACAGTGGAATGTGTTGGAAGTGGTTGATGCACTGTCGAGAAACCGCCCGGAGGAGAGAATGAGAATGTGTGTGTTTGACGACGCTGTTGTGTTGAAAGGTCTCCGGAGTTCAGCGACTTCCTCCGGAGAGCGCTGGATAAGAACGTGGACAATAGATGGAGCGCTCCACAACTGTTGCAGGTACCTGATATCACACAGAACCAGCTGAGTCACGGTTGGGGGCCAATGGTTTATTATGCTTACCACCCTGGATGCGGGCCAGAGCTCCTGTGTTGTGTTGATTGGAAAGGAAATCTATAAGTGCTGTTTTGTATTCGTGGTTCGTTATTCACACATATCTCACAAAATCAGAAAAACTGACACTTGCTTGTTGATGTTGAAATAATTATAAAAATGTATAAAACATTTTTTCTTTTCTCCACAAACGATAACTCAGCTGCATTTTGACAATTAATTCTTGTGCCAGGCTTCTGAGAGTCTTATGCTGTTGGCAGTGGCACCGACTGTGCTTCTCACTTTATATAATTAAAATGCAGTGGACTAACAATTATTGACATGAAAAGTATAGTAATGAATTAAAAGCAAAAGAAATACAGAAATTACAATACCAAAAACACATGATCAATAATAAATAATGTGTGATGTTTATGTTTTTACAGCATCCATTTGTCATTAATGCAACTGACAACAAACCTTTGCGGGAGCTCATTGCTGAAGCCAAAGCTGAAGTCTTGGAGGAGATTGAAGACAGCAAAGAGGAAGAGGAGGAGGAAGAACCAGAAACTCCTTTAGTATGTTTTTATATTCTACCAACATTCAACCTGCAGCAGCCCTGATTCCATCTGTTATTGAGTAAATGAAGGATGGACAGATAGATGACATTATTGATGTATTATCCAACTGGGAATTGGGAAAATCCCAGTGGGGGAGGGTCCCGGCTCAAAAGTGGCCAAAATGACGTGCGCTGACATGCTTGCAATACCACCCCGGGCCGATGGGGGTGGACCCAGAAGTAGAATTAGCCAATGCTAACATATTGCGTTGGCAGACCTCTCAAAAACGTCTTTACAGGATGGACCAAAAGTTGGCTCTTGGCCCAAAGCTCCGTTCCACATGTGTGTCAATGCTGAGGGGGGTGAATTTTTTTGGTCCACTCTAGTTTACTTGCTGTGATTTTTTGAAGTCTCTCGTTCAAATGAATGGAGTTGGGCCGGCTGACACATGCGCAGATGCGTTTATTTCACAATTTTCTTGTGGGCGGGACCACTCGCGGCTATTTTGGATAGCTCCAGTAGAGCACATTTTTGGCCCATTAGTTAGAACGGCGGAGATAGATTTTTTGTAGTTTATGGGAAATCCAAGAAGACAAACTGAATCTGCTGCCGTTCTGTGCACACGCTTCAAATGCAGTCGTACGCCCAAAATCATTTTGAGACACACAATATAGACATACAACTACATAAAACATATCCTATTGTGTACCTCCTCAAGAGGTCAAAGAACAGTGGTCAGCGATGACACTGACATGAGGAGAATTTTCAGTTATTAATTTACTTGCAAGCATTTATGGTAAGTTATATGGGCTCCCAGGGCATGGGAGGCATCATTTTTAACTAAAGCTCATAAAAAAGCCATATGACTTAATTTATTATAAACATTAAATCCAAAATGCAATATAGTCATATACATGTATTATTAATCTATAATAAGATCCCTTCCATCCAGTTTTGTTTCAGTCAAAACTAATTTTGATCAGATAATGAAAAAACTTAACCAGGGGGGGGACTAGGCAAAAATGGTTGGACTAAAGGACTGCATTATTTTTTGCATAATTCTGAAGCGTGCTATTTTTGTTTGTATTTCTTGCTCAGCCTCCGGGACACAAGCGCGCCCCGTCAGATGCCAGTGTTGCCAGTTCTGAAGATGAAAAGGCCACGCCCACAGCCTCTGTTTTGGAGTCCGTGGTGGAAAACAAAGAGGCCGAGCCGCCAGAGGACCTCACCAGCGATAAGCTCTCGGACGAAGGCCTGGGAACCAGCGAAGTGGACAAAACCGAGGAGGAGAAACTCAACGATGTTTCCGAGCTCGCAAACGAAGACCTCACACCAGCTCCGGTCGAAGAAGTCCCACAAGAAGCTAAAGTCGAAGATGAAGACAAACAAACGGGCGATGAAGAAAGTGCAGCCGCTCCCAGTGATCTACCTCAGGCTGAAACTCAAGGGAAAACTGTAGAAATAGCAGATATAACCGCGACAGAGCTAGACAAGGAAAATCATACAGTAGAGGAAAAACTCGTAAATAATGTTGAAGTTTTAAAACAAGACGAGGATATAAGCTGCAATGAAGAAATAACAGAAACAGAAAAACTTGCGGTCCAAGCGGAGGAAGTAAAACAACCAGACGATCAAGAGATTAAAGTGAACGAAACAAGAGACGATGTTTGCGAACCTGTTTTAGAGCCAGATCCATCACCAACACCTCCTATTGTGTCTTATCCATTAGATGCAGGTGTGAATAACGGTAAAGAATCTATAGAAAGCGAAGTGTTGAAGTCAGAAGATAGAGATCAAGAACCGGACGCGAACCCATCTATAGAAAATGTTAGTAACCCTGTCATAGAAGCAGAGTCGTTAGCAACACCTCCCGTATCGTTACCGCTGTCAGAAGATGAATTGGTGGCACAAGTTTTAGTCGAGGCGGCAAAACTGAGCCTGAGCGATGATGCAGGGAAAGATAGATCAGAGGACATTGTAAAAGAAGCAGTAGAGGACAATTATGTAGAGGAAAGACCTGTTGTTGTGGTGGAACAGGAATCAGAAATCGCGTCTACAGATGTGGTGATTGACAAGAAACCAGACGTGCCAACGAGCCCCGCAAAACCAGAGACAAAGGAAGGCCCTGGTGTCGACGCGAGCGTTTCCCAAGACGCGGTGTCCGTCCCGGAGAGCGAGACGGATTCCGAGGCGAAGACGGAGCAGGGCAGCCCGGCGCTCGTCAAACCCGAAGGAGAGAAGGATTCAGATTCAGGAAGCAGTTCGGCAGCTGACAGCAGCAGCCTCGACCTCAATCTGTCCATCTCCAGCTTCCTGAGCAAGACAAAGGAGAGTGGATCCATATCTGTCCAGGTAGCTTGTTACATGTGTTTGTTGTTATTTTATTCAATTGGTTTACTTAAAGAAGCTATACCCGATTTTTTTTCTAAGTAGTTCATAAAAATGCTTACTACATACAAGTTGTATCATAATACATAATTTAATTGAAAACTTGAGGTAATTGATTCAGCTGTGTAAGAATTACAAGCAGTGAAAAGGGCTGAGTAGAGTCTGAGCGGGCCGCTCTTTCTCCTCCGCACAGAACGAGCAGCGACCAGCCTGCGTCCTCTAGCCTCTACAGCGCTGCTTAACACCAGGGCTTCGACTTCAAAATTCGAATATAATTCTAAAATAAAAAATATATACATATTTGAACAAATATTAGACAGTCCTTATAATTCGAAATGTATTTAATGACTGCAAATAAAATAGTTAGCTCCCAAAGGTTTCACCGGGACGTGCTAGGCAGGTAACAGCTAAGCTAGCTAGCTGTTTCATGGTAACTTCCAGGTTTTTCGCAATCGCTTTTTGTCACTTTAAAACAGTATTTTTGTCATGAAAACGTTAACAGCTAATTCTGAAATCGTCCGTGCATGTGTGTTAAGGATGTATATGTGTACTGTATTGTCCGATTAACATTTAATGGTGTTGATTGATTGATATGTGTTTGTTTATTGAGCGTGGCTAGCTCCGTTGGCTTCTCTACACAGACGAGTGTGTAGTGACAAGCGCTGATAGCTTGTTGTACTTACAGAGTAATGGCGTAATTTCACACACCTGAATTACAAATAGATTGCATTGGGGCTTCGGTCATTATTGGTTTGAGAGTTCTGTTATCAAGAAAAAATGATCGGAAGAATTGCTGCTGCTGCTTTGAGGAGCTCTATAACAAATTATAATTAAATATTAGAATATATTCTAATGTTTTAAATTATTACATTCGGACGCGAAACTAGCGGTATTCTTTTACTTATATATTGTGTTAGCAGTGCGTTGCTTTAGTGCCATTTCATCAGTGATTGTTGCACAGCTTACAAGAAGTTGCGCTAATGCTAATGTTAGCATATGTATCAGATCGCAAATAAAACTAGGTGGCTCCGTGTTATGAGAGCGTAGGGGAAATGAGAAGCCTGTGAGCGAGTTGGGGGGCGGTGCTAAACATTCAAACATTGCAGAAACGGGTATAGCGCCTTTAAATATTTGTGTGGTTAGCAGAATCAGAATAATTTGTATTGCCATTGTAAGTAACAGGATGTCACAAACCTACTTTTTGCTTTACTTTTCAGAGCTGCTTTTGGACAGATATATTCACACCATAAAGTTAATAACTACTTGGTTTTCAAAGAAAATTACTATCAGAGTTGTACCACAAATAATCTAGAATAACAATTGTACTACTAAGTTTTATCCAGCTACAGTATGAACCAGGATAATCCCAGAATAATGGCAATAAACAGGAGATTTCTTTTCTCTTTCCTCTATTTGGAAGATGTCTGTTGGCCAGATTAAAATGCTCAGTGGGCCTGATTTGGACCCCAGGCCGCGAGTTGACCAGGCCGGTTTTACTAAATACACTGACAAAGTTACGTCCATGGAAACCGGCTGGGAGTGGTCCTTGAGGAGTAATGTGTGTTAAAGCAATTTGTGGTTGAACTTGTTTATATTATGTGGAATTTTACTATGACTGTACACCTGTTGGCATGGAAACACAGCATGTTGTTTTGACTGTATTTAGGTCTTTTGTTGCTATGCTAAACTATGAATGAGTGTGTTACATGATTTAGATTTGTGCAAAAACTACAGAATCTTTGTTTTTTTTTGTACAGGATTCAAAGCGCCAGAAGAAGACGCTGAAGAAGACCCGTAAGTTCATGGTGGACGGCGTGGAGGTCAGCGTGACCACGTCCAAGATCGTGTCTGAAAATGACGCCAAGAGCGAAGAGATGCGCTTCCTCAGGTGGGTTCTGTCCTCGCCGTACGCTCTCCCGCTATCTCACCGTTACATATGGCACAGTCTAAATACAGGACATGACCCATTTAACTCCGCACCATAAATAGTTTTTCACAACTCCCACCGCTTTTTAAAAACCCCAGATGGGTTATCCGCTGTTAACCTCCAATGTGGCCTTTTTAGACACATGGGACTCACTGCACTTTGCATACATTTGTGTGGTTTTGAATTGTATCAGGCCTACCACAAACTCTGATCATACCTGAGCCAATGAGGTGCAAAGCAGACACGGGCCCCAACAACACACCAACCTTTCCCAGTGTAGTCCCGGGTCCATATGGTATTTTTCGGAAAACACTGCACTGTATATGGAAAATAGGACTGTCGTAAGCTGATTTGACGATTGATAAGGCCAGATAAAACTAAATATTTGTTTTAAGATTGCTTATTCTTTGAGAAATTTTAAAACTGTAGTCGTAAAGTGCACTTTTGGTCAGACTCATAAATGTTACAAAAGGTATTTCCTCTGTCACTTTTTGGGGACAAGGCACGATATTGACCAAGAATTTCTTTGGTCTACTACAGCGCTAATGAAAATGCCTTACAAGTATTATACAGTAGGACCTTATATTGATTCTAATGGTTTTAAAAATGTATAGATAATTTTTTGAAAGAAGAACATCGGAAATTTAACTTGCTACTGCTAATGCTATTAAACCTTATTTAGTTTTGTTTTTTTGAGGGGTTTTTGCCAGTTGCAGGATACCCACTGCAGACCACACTTCTCCGCACCACACTAAGCGTTTTACTTTCACATGCCCGCCTATTTATCCGTGTAGTGCATTTGCATAGTAGTTGTATAGTAGTGGCACACCGCATCGAAGCCCTCTTGCTGTAACACAAGCTCTCACAAAGCGTCCTCTTGAATAAACTATAACCTCTCTACACACAACAGTCCAGGGTAGAACTAGTCTCGTCAGCTCTAAATATATCTCTTTTTCTTGTTGTGGTTTTGGCACCAGGCGGCAGGAGCTGAGAGAGCTTCGCCTCCTGCAGAAAGAGGAGCAGAGAGCCCAGCAGCAGCTCAGCAACAAACTGCAGGGCCAGCGAGATCACATCTACCGCCGCTTTGAACAGGAAACCAGCGTGAGTCACCGCAACGTGTGAAAAAAACGGCTGTGAGGCAAAAAGCTGAAAACCTGTGACGAGATACACTGTAGATTTGTGGTTATTGCTATTTAATTGTGTTGCCGGTGCATGCTGAAGGGGAAGGATGTGTGTTGGATTATTTTTTACAGTGTTATGGTATAGATTGATAGACAGACACACACACAACCACATACAGTACTCATACAGACACATACACACACACAAACTTATATTCAGACACATACACACACAGACACATACTCATATACAGACACATACACACACACACAGACACATACACAACCATGTACAGTACTTGTATACAGACACATACACAGACACAGACTTAAACACACACACATACATAGAAAAACAGACACATAAACATACAGACATAGACACACACACATAGACACAGACACATAGGCACACACACACACACATACACATACACATATACAGACACATGCACATACACATACACACATATACAGACACATACACATATATAGACACATACACACATGCAGACACATGCACATATACAGACACATGCACATATACAGATGTCAGGATTTATGCAGACAGAGACGGATCGTGGTGCGCCAAACTCTGGAAGTTTATTTAAGTTTCTCTCAAGTTCCACTGTTTTACTCTGTTTCTTTCTCTCAGACAGAATAAAGGCAGTACACAGTTTATATAGTCATTGTCACGTCACACATCGAAAGACATACGTGTCACAAAGAGACAGTCAAATCATAGTCATAACATGGAGTCCTTGTAGAGTCCTGCACGTAGGCCATATTGCTATCTAATACTAACACCCTCCCCTTTGATCACATAATCACATGTGATCACTCAATTTGATCAATCAATAAAATGGAAAAAGAAAAAAAAAATTCCAAAAAAAACTTTAAAAAATTATTAAAAACAAAGAAAATGTATGCATTAAACTCATAATCATCAAAATCAATATCAGTGGATTTTATCCTCTATCCTGGGAAAAAATAAACAAACAAAAATAAAGTAAATAAACAAACAAAAAACAAATCAAAAATAAAAACAAACAAAAATAAAAACAAACAAAAACTATTGGACACACAAGAACTCAGCAGATTCAGTCAAAACACAGACAAAAACGAGCTGAGTCTCAAATTTGAAGCTAATTTCACTTTTCTTACTCTATACTTTTATTCTAATGCTAATTGTTTACACTACACTTATTTCACTTTATTATTTTCACTTTTCAATCTTAAACTGTGTACTTTACTTTTATTATTCACTATAGTTTAAAACTATTCTAATCTATTCACATAAATCTCTCTGTTCTGTGGTTTACACTCTAATTATCAGTGGCATATTATTAGTGGGATTTTGCTCCATGTCTATTCTCATTCTCAGGAATAAAACTGTGAACACAGTAAGGCAAATGGTCAACATTTACACTTCTATAGTGGTCAGTGATTTATTACTTTTTATTATCTAAAGATATTATTGTCAGGCAGTTTGGGATGAATGTACATCATTAATCAAATTAGTATTATCCTAATAGTAGCTAATTAGGTTTGGGGTTGGGGTCAGTTATTCTACAATGGTGTTTGTGCTGGAAACTTCTCAATATCTAAATATCTACTATTGTGTTTTTGTGCTATACACAAATACATCAAAATGCTTTTAAATGCTTTTGAATCTCTGTTTGTTGTAATCTATCTCATTGATCTAGGCATTAATCTAGGCTACACTCATAGGGACTTTTGCATTGTCAACATTCACTCATGTGTGAACACAAGTGAATTTGGCAAGTATCTAATAAAACTGTAAATAAAACTGTAAGTAACTTTATCTACTTTTGAAGTAAATGCTTGTGAAATGGTCCCTTTACCATTTGATATTAGCACTGGCTAAGAATATTCTCTATTTTTGAAAGCATCTATGGTTGATGCGTTTATCTATTCCTATTTCTACACTATTGTGACTCTAAAGTTTGGCTGCAGTTTGAGCAAAGGCATATTCCTAATTTGTGACTTCTGTCACTTTTAATATCTCTAACATAACTCTGATTCTAATATTCTAGCTGCTCTATCAGAAAGATAACATTTTATGGAACTATTTTAACTCTTACGTGGAAATGTGTTTATGAACAACAAAGAAAGGACAATTCTACTTTTTTACTACTATTTAACATCTACTAAAACGCTACAATACTCATACTTTATCATTTTAAAAGTTTTTGTCTGTCAGATGTCTGAATACTTAACATGTATATTGCATTTGTCACAGTTTCTGGTTGTAGCAATAGCATCGGCAATAGACGATTTTTCATTGGCTGGTTCTTGTTCTGCAAATGGCTGTGTCCAATAGATCATCAGATGTCCAGAAGCTAGGGACAAACAAAAACAAAAGAAAGAATCATGAGTATCTGTCTCATTTAGCACTCATCAATGTATGATTTTAATAATATAAACATCACTCCCCAGTTTTTCTCTCCAAGGTCCTCAGGTCCTCAGGTCCTCAGGGTCCCCTGAGGGTGAGTCTCAGTCGTCATCAGGTCAGGTCATCTTGGACATCAGTAGGGTCCAAGCCATGGTTTTGGTCTCTCCAGTTGGACATCAGGATCTCCAGATACAGTCTTTTCAGTTGAAGCACATCAGGTCACTTGGGATGTACTTCTGGTCAATGGTGCAGTCTCACAGTTCCTGTACACAGCTTGTTATGCAATAGTTACTCTCTATGGTTAAGTCACTTTGATTCTACTTTAACACAATTTCTATTCATGCTGTTGCAAATGTCCCTTAGACAAAAGGCAAGCGCAGTTTACTTCTCTAATTTGTGTTTTTATCAGATCTAATTCTCATCAATGTAATTACTTCACACAGTACAAAATCAACAAACCAAAAGTGTCAGGACAGACGTCAATTATGTCCATGACAATATAGAATTCAAATGAACATTTCTGGTCTCAAAAAATACTGATTCAACTAAAGATTCAAGTGATAGACAATTAAAAATATGTGTTTACATTGGAGTAAACTTTTAATGCTTTTTCCTCATGTTCTACTTTTTCATGTATCTATATGTAAATGTGAATGTGTGAGTGTATGAGTGTGTATGTGTGTGTGTGTGTGTATGTGAATTTTGGGGTTGTCTCTCAAGACTCCTCGAACCACCTGTAGGTCTCAAAGGTCACACTGTGGTGATGCAAACCAACTGGACACACTCTCAACTCTCATTCAGGTCTCTCCCTGATGCTCCACCATCCCGTCTCCAGAAACCTCTCTTTCATGGCCCCGGTCTCTCTCACACCCACTCAGTTCTGCAGTGGCGTGGGGAGGGGCAAGGAGGTGGCATTTCCCTTTGCTCTTTGATCTGTGACCTGTGGCTGGGTGGGCGTTGCGCTGTCCAGTGTCCAGCAGTGACCCTGTACAGTGTGTGCTCTTGGTTCTGGAAAACAACCTTATAGTCAAATTAAAAACAACAGAGATTGTGAATGAGATTGTTTTTCTCTCTGAAGTCTAAACAATTTTGAAGCGCTCTTGGCTTTCCCAAGCGCTATGTAAATAAAAGATTACTTATTATCTTACTAATGATGACATTTAAAACCAGAAACTCTCAATATAAAAAAACAAGACTCAAATCTCTTAAACCTTTTAAACTTTAAAATATGTATTATGTACTTTTGTACTGTGTGATGTTTTTAATCTTGAACATCTTGGGTTTCACTTTATGGACTTTCCCTTTTACACTTATTTATCTCAGCATCTATTCTACTAATTTAAAATAATTGCAGCATTTTTCAAATGAAGTCAGTATGAATTGGAGCACATTTTAGACCAGTCTCCTCTGCTGTGGCATCAGCAGGAGCAACAAGGTCAGGCGTGTAGTCAAAACAAAAACAAAAGTCACCACTTGCATGTGAATTGGGTAGTTTAACTTAATAATATAATACTTTTACAGCCTAATTCCCTCTTTCTTTTTTAGACGAAGTCTACAATCATTAATCACTTTTAACAGATTCTAATTTAAATGTTTGAAAAACGGCTTTTGTAACTAAAATAAAAAATACATGAAAAAATTCTCACAAACAGCTATGAAATATATCAGAAATACAATAATGGACTCACAAAATAAGCAGCAGATTTAAAAAGAAAAGCAAAGCTTTTTGTACTAATCTTTGGGTTTCAAAAACATACTAATTCAAAACTTCTATTCCCTAATGGTGTTTAAAAACGTTTAACTGTGTCTAACACAATGTTCAAATGGCAAATTTAGCAAATTTAACGGAATAACAACTATGAAAAGCCAGAAGTCCTAAAGCAGTAGCTTTGCTTCAGATTCACAGCCAGAGCAGCGAAGGAGGGGGCCGTTTCCCTGACAACGGCAGCAGATAGAGCGACGCACACACACAGGCAAAAAGATACAGAAGAATAACTTTCAAGATTACTTTGTTAAGCGAATATAACTGATGTTGTTCTTTATACTTTTGTCATCCAAGTCTAGAAGTGATCACTTTCCACACTAGTAACAAAAGGCACTCTTTAGTGTTTAACGTTTACGCTTCTATTTTATCGAGGTAGCAAACTAATTTAAACTCAAAATCTCTTTCTAAAAAACAAAAACAACTGTTGGATACAACCCTCTCATAGCTCAACTGTAGATAAAACTCGGCAAAAAATGTAAATATCTCACAAAAGCTCTCAAAGCTCAACTTTAGATAAAACTCTGCATTCTCCGGTGAACTCTGTTCACTCCAAAAACAAAAACTCCCTTTTTCTGTATGTAATTTAAACCGTGATCACTGAAATATTGTTGCTTCTTTACTTTTGTCATTTATCAGCTTGAAATTCGTCAATTTCAAAGCTTTTGTAACAAAGGCCTCCTTAACACGTTTCCCTTTTTATAAATTGCTTTTCTGTTTACACCATGGTTTCTCTCAAAGGGACTTTAACCCTGAAGCTTCTTCTCAAAGGGACTTTAACCCCGAGGCTTTTCTCAAAGGGACTTTAACCCCGAGACTTTCTCAAAGGGACTTTAACCCCGAGGCTCAAAGGGACTTTAACCCCCGAGACTTTCTCAAAGGGACTTTAACCCCGAGGCTCAAAGGGACTTTAACCCCGAGACTTCTTCAAAATACAATTTAGAGAGTTTGACAGACCCCAAAAAACAGACCAAAATTTATCTAATATCCAATTATGCAGACTTTACATATAAAAAGGTGTCTGCTTACCTTATTCTTGTCAAACCGGTTCCAAGGACTGTCCGAGAGGTCTGCCAACCCTTTTCCGCGTCGGAATATTCAATTTAAAAAACAAAACAGAGAAAGTGAGGGAGCAAGAGCAAGCCCATCCAAAAGCGAGCCCTTTCAGCGTCCGCTGGGATTTCTCCCCTTCCAGATAACGTGCTGTTGCTCCCACACGCCGAAAAAAAGAAACAGAGGAAATTCTCTCAAAACAATCCAGAGAATGGCACAAACCGAGCCGCGCATTCTCCACCAAATCTGTCAGGATTTAAGCAGACAGAGACGGATCGTGGTGTGCCAAACTCTGGAAGTTTATTTAAGTTTCTCTCAAGTTCCACTGTTTTACTCTGTTTCTTTCTCTCAGACAGAATAAAGGCAGTACACAGTTTATATAGTCATTGTCACGTCACACATCGAAAGACATACGTGTCACAAAGAGACAGTCAAATCATAGTCATAACATGGAGTCCTTGTAGAGTCCTTGTACAGTCCTGCACGTAGGCCATATTGCTATCTAATACTAACACAGACACATACACATATATAGACACATACACATATACAGACACACAAATACACATATACAGACACATACACATATACAGACACATACACATATATAGACACATACACATATACAGACACATACACATATATAGACACATACACATATATAGACACATACACATATACAGACACATACACAGACACATACACATATATAGACACATACACATATATAGACACATACACATATACAGACACATACACATATATAGACACATACACATATATAGACACATACACATATACAGACACATACACATATATAGACACATACACATATATAGACACATACACATATACAGACACATACACATATACAGACACATACACATATACAGACACATACACAGACACATACACATACACAGACACCTGCACAAACACATACATACACACACACACACACACACCTATACATACACATCTCTCACCTCTCGTGTTTCCGTGTTCACATCCAGGCTAAAAAGCGACAGTACGACCAGGAAGTGGAGAACATGGAGAAGAAGCAGAAGCAGACGATCGAGCGCCTGGAACACGACCACACCAGCTGGCTCCGCGACGAGGCCAAACGCATCAAGTCGGAGCAGGACAAGGAGCTCTCCAAGTTCCAGAACATGATGAAGAGCCGCAAGAAGGAGGTACGTGCTCGGTGCATGGCCGCTTCCTGTCATCTGTGAGACTGGTGCTGGGTCTGCATGTGCTGAAGCCAGGGGGAGGCCTGTCACAACAACTGCACCAAGGGAAGTGTGCTATAGAGGTGGGAATAGGCAAAAATATGACCACCGTAATGGATAGTAATTGCAATATTTGGGCCACAATTTTATATTATTTCGATTCTTAACATATTGCGATACAATATTGGGATTTGATTTTGCGATATTTAGTGATTCATGTCTCTCTTATTATTCAGAGGCATTACACAAATTGAGGAAAATAATACTTAGGAGGGTAGTGCAAAAACTTTATCATTCTCACTTCTCACATGAACATTGAGCTCCCAGAACATAACTTAAATTATTCAAATACAATAGACTAGAGTCACAAAAAGCAGACATTATCGAGTAACAAACCTCAGATGATTCTTACCAGAGTAAACTCCAAGAAAAAACAAAAGTGAAGCCGATAATTGTTTAATTAAATATCACATTACTTTGCTGCTTTTCTACCGTATCGATTCATCGCAATATCGCAATACTGATTAATCTTTTGTTTTTACCCATCACTAATGAATGATATGTTAAAGCCGGGTAGATACATTTTTGTCTCATATATAGTTCATTCCCTTTGCCCAACTAGTTCTGTAAAAGTATAAAAATAAAAAAATACCAAAGCACGATGTGACCGCACTTGTTTGTATTGTCTTAATTAGTAAGGGCTAACACTTTAGATTAGCCCTCACTAATTAACATCTATTTAGGTGCTAATTAGTGTTCTTAACTCTAACCCACATGGGAAAGTGTCAGTTAGTAGTTAATTAGAGGGTGATTAATGCCATATGGAATAGGGACTAGGACTATAGTGCTTTATAAATACCCATTAAGAGCTAAAAATACATAAATTTTACTCTAATTAGTTCTTCATTAGCTGTTTATTTGTGAGGGATAAACTAAAGTGTTACAAAAAAAACACATATTTAAACTCTCAAACCAATCCTGAAATAACACTATAATACAACATGGTGACAGGTCTCCGTGGCGACCTCTCTCTGCCCTGTGATTGGCTAGAGTGCTGTGGGTGACGGACAGAGCTGCTTTACGGCTTCTGCTTGTGGGATGCAGTATTTTACGATCCTCCTGGAGCCAAGTGCTGCGACGCCAGAGCTCTTTCTAACAAGCTTTAAAGTCTCTGAGCGCAGACGCGACACTTTTGGAGTCTGAAAAGATGTTCAGGAAGCGCTTTCTTTTGGCAGGATGTCTGTGCTCTGTTAATCTGTCAATGCGTTTTCCTTCTTCTTTTACCCGTACAGTGATTTTGCCTCATTTACTTTTCTGCAGAGCTCGACTATATCGTGTTGAAATATGTGTTTTCTTTTGTGACGGTGAATAATGTTGGTGTCAGTGCATAGTTGCTTCGGTGATGAGAGGATTATCTAATAAATAAGGCATTGGTAAAGTACAATCCAATTATAATTAAGGGACGACTGATTCTTCTAATAGAGAATTTTCCAAAGATTTCAATGATTTTTACCATTGTTACATTTTATATATATATTTTTTAACAATTACATTTTTTACTTTTTTCACTCAGCCACCAACACCTTTCGTGAAACTTTACCCAACATGCAGTGAACTGATTGGGTAATCATAATGTATTTAATGCATGGGGAGCAATTTATTTACAGTACCAGTTTTTTATTTATAGGCCAGGCAAGTTTATTTGTATATCACAGTTCATACACAAGGCAACTCAAATAAATCATAAATAATCACAGTGTATTTAAAAGAGTGAATAATATAATCCTTCTGTTGTATTTTCAGCTAAACAGAACTGTTTTTAACCTGGGTTTGAACATTGTCAGTGAAGAAGCCTGTCTCACATTTTCAGGAAGATATATAGATATAGTTTAGCTGCTCAGAATGGCAAAGAAAACGTTTTTGTGGCTGATCATCAAGCTATGTTTTTTTCTCAACATTTAGGAAAAAATAACTGAAAATGAAATTGGTAATCATTGGAACAGTATCCCATAACATTTGTGACAGAATCTAAAAAAAAATCCTAAAAAATTCAAATCAGTCGTTCTGTAATTACAATCATTAAGCTCTTCTTTGATCTTTTAACCATTTGCCTCCATGGATTGTGTCTGATCTTGGTTCTTAGACGTATCTCTCGGTCTGCTCACATCTTACCCTGATACTTCCGGTGGCTCCAGATCCTTAATCGGTGCAAACATCTCCTCACTTTGATTCAAAATGATAAATCTAAATCAGGCGGTGGTGGCTCTCAGTGATCTCATGCATGCGATGGAAGCGGGAAAACCTGCAGCTCCTCTGACTGAAAGACAAAACCCATTTGAACAGTGTCCTCAAACCCCAAACTGTAGGTGAAAATGGAGGTCGGGCAGTCCCGCAAACGCATGAGAAAAGAACTCATGAGGCGCTTAAAGGAAGACCTGTCCCTCACTACGTCTGCAGAGGTAAACTTTCTATTCTGTCTCACTTACACCGCAGAAAATGATGAAATATGAGGTAATAATTGCCAGAAGTCAAGTGTTTTTTGAGTACATTCTGACTTAAAACAAGATTTGCCACTTTGCTTTGTCCCATTGGCAAATCATGTTTTAAGACAGTCAGAATTTACTCAAAGTAAGGTGCGTTTTGTCAAATTCAAGCAATTTTTAACTTATTTTTCATCACTTTTTGCAGTGTCTTCTTTCCAAGTCTTTTTTGTACATTACTACTTCTGCAAACTATGGATTCTAAGGATAGGGTTGAGTTTGGTCTTTGTGATTCATGTTTTTTCTGTGTTCTTATTATACGGTTTTTTTACTGTTATGACCAGTTCAAAACCAAAAGATATACGATATCCATGTGTGTCAAAAATAAAAATGTACTTCAAACTGATTCCGGTGAAGAGACAAAGAAACAAGCTGCCGCCTTTGCCATAGAAGCCACCACCAGCCCGAGTTCAAAATCAGAGCTTAGAGATTTGTAGAGAATAGACCTCCCTCATGTGAAGAATTGTGTTTTCCAAGATGTTTTTTTTTTTTATCTGTAAAGCAGTGTTTCCCAACCAGGGGTAAGGGCACACTCATATGAGGACTCAGCTCTGGCTCATCTGGATTAAGATTTTTATTTTATTTTATTTTTCAAAAAATTGGCAAATCTTGTTTTAAGGCAGTCAAAATGTTCTCAAATGTTGCCAATTTTGAGCAATTTTTGACTTATTTTTCATCACTTTTTTGCAGTGTGTGTGTGTGTGGCTGTTTCTCCTGTGTAAAGTGTGACCCGCTGCCCCCTCCCCCTGCCCCTGCCTCACCCTCACCCCCTCCCCCCTCCCTCTCCTTCACAGGCAGTGGCCCAGGTTATGATTCAGTCTTTTCAGTTGTCCTCATGCACGCTCTTCAACGCTGAGATGCAGGATGTAAGTCACCGCAGCGGACTGAAGTGTGTGTGTGTGTGTGTGTTTTTCTGCCTCTCTTTCTCTTTGGAACATACGTGTGCGTGCTTCTCGTGTCCTGGGGCCCGTGTTGTGTGTGCGGAGGTCACGGCGGCGCGCCCCGGAAGCGTTTTTTCAGTGTTCATGCAGTGGTTCTGTTCTTCTCTGTTTCGGCTGTTTCTGTGGATGAGTTAAGTCGTATTTTGTAAAACAGGGTATTTTACATAAAGTTTTTTGGTTCTTCTACATCAGACAATTAGCGATGAAGATAGCCGTGTTGCTACCTTCACGTGTTTGTGGCGTCCCAAAAAACGTGACACTACATCTTTTGTACTCATATGTCTTTGCTATTGATTTCAGTACTGCTCTATTTCATAACGTTAAACGATATTCTTTCTGAAAAGAGAGACAAGAGAGATAAACCAGAGAGAGAGAGACCAGAGAGAGAGACCAGAGAGAGAGACCAGAGAGAGAGACCAGAGAGAGAGACCATAGAGAAAGACCATAGAGAAAGACCAGAGAGAAAGACCATAGAGAGAGACCAGAGAGAGTGACCAGAGAGAGAGACCAGACCAAAGAGAGGGACCAAAGAGAGGGACCAGAGAGAGAGACCAGACCAAAGAGAGAGACCAGACCAAAGAGAGAGACCAGAGGGCGAGAGAAGAACAGAGAAAGGGACCAGGGAGAGAGACCAGACCAAAGAGAGAGACCAGAGAGAGGGACCAGACCAAAGAGAGAGACCAGATCAGAGAGAGAGACCAGACCAAAGAGAGAGACCGGACCAAAGAGAGAGACCGGACCAAAGAGAGAGACCAGACCAAAGAGAGAGACCAGACCAAAGAGAGAGACCGGACCAAAGAGAGAGACCGGACCAAAGAGAGGGACCAAAGAGAGGGACCAGAGAGAGGGACCAGACCAAAGAGAGAGACCAGACCAAAGAGAGAGACCAGAGAGAGAGACCAGACCAAAGAGAGAGACCGGACCAGAGAGAGGGACCAGGGAGAGAGACCAGACCAAAGAGGGAAACCGGAGAGATATGCCTCAACTTGTGAAATATTGTAGGTCAGGTCATCCTACTCTTACCTACATTGAGAATAGTATCCTGAATTCAAGCCAATTTTGTTACAATTGTAACAAAACAGAAGTGTGTATTTGTTATATACCTGTTTTTCTCTGTCTCCATCTACAGGACTTGATGATGTGGCGTGATCTTTGTGTGTATTATTTGTAGTTTCAACAAAGCAGCGTTATATAAACCTACACGTGTTAGTCCTTGTTCTAGTGTCTTGGTTGTTGTCCTCATCCTCAGGCTGTTTCTCTCTTCCCCTAAAGGAGCAGGAGTTCTTACAGAAGCAGCAACAAGAACTGGACGGCTCCTTGAAGAAGATCATCCAACAGCACAAGGTGGAAATCTCTACGATCGAGAGAGACTGCCTCAACCACAAGCAGCAGCTCATGAGAGGTGAGGCTCTGTCCATTTGAGTTCTACTAGTTTATTACAGACATGGAGTTGCTTTAGACCTGTAGCTCTCTAAAAGTAGGAGGCCGTGGGTCTTTGCCAGTGATAAAAACAAATCGTTTTTGATAAATTGCTTTCCTGCTATTCAAAGTACTATTGCTTTCTATAACTGTATCAAATGAAACACAATAGCTGAGTCTACATCACAGACTCGGACAAACAGCAGTATAGAGGGATGTGTTCAAAAGAAGAGGCGACAGTGGCTCAGTTGCTAGAGTATTGGCCTTTGAGCCTGAAGGTTGTGGGTTCGATCCCCCCACAAGAATTTCTCCACTGACTCTCCTCCCACTGATGTCTGCAGCCGTTGTGTCCTTGGGCAATGGAACTGGATTATGGGGAAGAAAATGGATGGATGGATGTTTGGTGTTAAAAAGAAATTCAATTTGTTAACATCTATTTTTAGTAACGTGCTATTTTAGGATTTGATCTACAACCTTTGGCTAAATGCTTGACAGTCTTTCTCACTGATTGATTTCTAAGTAACTGTATTTCACATTTCCTATAAGATAAGATATTCTTTATTTATCTCACAAGGAGGAGAAATTTACATTTGGCATGGATAGAAACACTCAGATTGTGCAAAAAAGGGAGGAAATGTGCAAACATGTTAAATGCAGGATATATTATGTACATATGCCATATGTGGCATAAATTAGTATAGTTTATTGTCCCTGTAGGGAAAGGCCACTTACTGCCACTAGGGCGTCTGACAGGAGCAGTGGTCACAGACACATCTCCAGGTGTGGATGCTCTCGGTCAGGACCAGAGCTGGAGGATTTGACCTTTTGTTCATGTTTTTAGTAGTAGAGGAACACACAGGGAGAACATGCAAATTAAAATGAGGCATGTGTTGGCTTCCACTCCCACAGCCGAGAGACACTACACTCCAGACACCATTAACATTCAGCGACAAAACTGTAAAACAGAAGCATGTCCAGCTTCTACTGCACTCACTCATCCACTGACGACAGAAACAAACCAGAAGCAGCTGCTGCACACGCCGTCATCGTGTGAGGTCACTTTATGTGTGTGTGTGCGTGCATGTGTGTGTGTGTGTGTGCGTAGTCTGACATTTAAAATAATATGTGTGTACGTGTGTGCTCTGTGAAGCCAGGGAAGCTGCTATGTGGGAGCTGGAAGAGCGCCACCTGCAGGAGAAGCACCAACAGCTCAAGCAGCAGCTGAAGGACCAGTACTTCCTCCAGAGGCACCAGCTGCTGAAGAGACACGAGAAGGTGACACTCTGCTCTGTGCTCATCTCATTTACCTTTTCTATTCACAGTATGCTGGACGTACATAATATGCTGTCTCAGATAATATGGCCCTGACCTGCGGAGTGCCACAGGGGTCGATTCTGGGACCTCTCCTGTTCAATATTTACATGCTGCCATTAGGTCAGTTAATTCAAAGTATGAAAGTGTCCTACCACAATTACGCTGATGACACTCAGATCTATGTCTCACTGACTGCAGGAGAGCATGGGCCGGTGGACTCACTCCTTCGCTGTATCCAGCGGATCAGTGAGTGGATGCAATGCAATTTTCTCCAGCTAAATGCGGACAAAACCGAAATGATTGTCTTTGGTCCCGAGAAACAAAGAGAGACCGTCATTTGTCACCTTCAGTCTCTCTCCCTAAGGCCCTTAAATAAGGTCAGAAATCTGGGAGTAATAATGGACTCTGACTTAAACTTCAATAGCCACATTGGATCGGTAACATCAGCAGCTTTTTATCATCTGAAAAATATTGCCAAAATTAAAAATATTGTGTCCAGGGCAGACTTGGAGATTCTTATCCATTCTTTTGTTTCCAGTAGGCTGGATTACTGCAATGGCCTGCTCACAGGTATCTCCAAACATGCAGTAAGACAGTTGCAGTATATTCAAAATGCTGCAGCCCGAGTCCTGACTAGAACCAGGAAGTACGACCACATTAGTCCGGTCCTCAGGTCTCTGCACTGGCTTCCCGTGGCCCAGAGGATAGACTTTAAAGCAGCTCTCCTGGTGTACAAGTCTCTCCATGGCCTTGCACCAAAGTACATCCATGATATGCTAGTCCCATATGAACCAGCCCGGACTCTGAGGAGCGCAGGGACGGGACTCCTGTTAGTGCCCAGAGTCAGGACTAGACAGGGGGAGGCTGCTTTTCAGATTTATGCAGCTGGAGTCTGGAACGGTCTTCCTGAGGATGTGAGACTGGCTGCCTCTCTGTCAATGTTCAAATCCATGTTAAAGACTTTTCTTTTTTCCCGTGCATACAACTAGAGAATTTTATCTTTTTAACACACCTTGTTATTTATTGTTGTAACTTTTTGTGTTTTTAACTATTTTATTGTTTTTAATTACTTGTGTGATTTTTATGTTTTTAAATTACTTATGTGATTTTAATGCTTTTTAATTACATATGTGTTTTTAATTGTATTTTAATGGTGATGATTTGTGCATTGTGTGGTGTGGACTGTGAGGCGCTTTGTGTTGCCCTGTGCAGGAAAAGCGCCCTATAAATAAAGATTGATTGATTGATTGATACATTTACTACCACACACGTGTCCGTCTTTTTATCAGGGGTGGCGCAAAAAAAACCATCTAAATAAGTATAATAGTTTTTTAAGTTGGATAAATTGTCTATTTTTTTCTTTAGTAACATCAATAGTTTTTTCAGAACATTAGATAAGAAGCCAAAAGCAATAATTTTATTGAATAGTATCAAATATAATACAAATATTAGATTATTTTTTACTTTTTTAACATGTTTGCGTGATTCTATGTACATTTCTGCTTTGTGGGATCAATAAAGTTTATCTTATTTTATCTTTATTATATTGTATCAAATTGAAAGTCGCCTGTTTTTAGACACATATCGAAACGGCAGCTCTGACAGATGCCCTGCTCTACTTATTCTGTTGTTACTTATCTATTCACTGGTCGCTTAGAAAAGTGGGATTGTTCTGTGTTTGCGATAATTCTGTTCTCCATCTATGACTTACAATCTACTCAAATGACTCAATTATTTCAGAAATCAATCTGAGCCAATGGAGACAGGAGATATAAATATTGCCCTGAAGACGGCCCTGCGAGGCTGTGTTTTCCGTTTTCCTCTTTTGAGTTCAAATTCTTTCTTTTGCAGGAAATGGAGCAGATGCAGCGCTTCAACCAGCGGCTGGTGGAGGAGCTGAAGAACAAACAGGCGCAGGAGCGAGGCCGACTGCCCAAGATCCAGCGCAGCGAAGCCAAGACCAGGATGGCCATGTTCAAGAAGAGCCTCCGCATCACCGCCACCGCCACGGTCACACAGGAGCAGGAGAGGGAGCGCATCAAGCAGGTCTGACCAGGGACTGACCAGGGACTGACCAGGGACCAACAAGAGACCGACCAAAGACTGACCATAGACTGACCACAAACTGGGCTCCTGCTTGTCTCTCACACATGTCTTAGTTTCCGTTCGCTTTGGAAAGGGCTGTTCTTTCCTAAAATACTGGAAAATCCTCATTTACCTTTAATCTGTTTCAATCAATCAATCAATCAAATGTATTTATAAAGCACAATTCATACAGTGTAACCCAAAGTGCTTCACAAGCAATTAAAAGACAGACAAAAAAACAGTGTATATACATATAAAACATAATGTATTAAAAAGATAAAAGTTATGAACAGTTAAAAAACAAATGCTTCAGATTAGTCATATGCATAACTGAAATGTTTCACCATTTGTTCAGAAACAAACACTTTTCGTCTTCTGTGGATCTGTGTTTATATGAAACGTTGTCACCTCCACACGCCTTTGTCTCTGATCTTCTGTACATTTGAGTCACATGACTAACTAATTCTAGATGTTTCTGGATTGTAACCTGTTGTGTTTGCTGCAGTTTGCGGCGCAGGAGGAGAAGCGGCAGAAGAACGAGCGTCTGCATCAGCATCAGAAACACGAGAACCAGATGAGAGACCTGCAACTGCAGTGTGACGCCAACGTGCGGGAGCTGCAGCAGCTGCAGGTAACCATGGAGACGCACACGGTTACACACTCACCTGAACGCCACCACAGGTTTATATGTTCAATGCAGGAGTGTGTGTGCGTGCGTGTGTGTGTTTATGTGCACACTATATACTGTACATACAACTTTAACTATATTTAGCTCAACCCCTTTTTAACAAATAGGGAATAATATGTACAAACATTTCCCCAACACTATGGTTCTGATCTTTAAATGCAGAAAGTAAACCATGAGGCTGGTTTCGTTCTCTTTCAGAATGAGAAATGCCATCTGCTGATTGAACACGAGACACAGAAGTTGAAAGAACTTGATGAAGAAAACAACCAAGAAATCAAAGAGTGGAGAGAAAAGCTGAGGCCCCGGAAAAAGGTACTGTCTTTACTCTGAGTAATGCTCTTGTACTGAGGCTAACATGTGCTGCCCCCTGCAGGCGCTCGAGGAGGAGTTCCAGAGGAAGCTGCAGGAGCAGGAAGTCTTCTTCAAAATGAGCGGAGAGTCGGAATGCCTTAATCCCAGTGCTCAGAGTCGAGTGTCCAAGTTCTACCCCATTCCAAACATGCACAACTCGGGAATCTAATGCTGCACTTCCACACTGCTGAGGAGGAGAGGAAAGGAAAGGAAATAGGAGGAGGAGGAGAGGAGTTTACTGTATGGAGCATGATGTGCCGTCTCCTTGACGACGGTTCGGGCCCAAAGAAAGTCTGTGCACACGTCCCGAGCATGTTCACAGGACAGACTTCAAACTTCCTCTAAACCAAACGCTGTCCACACAACCATCGCTTCCAGAGACGTCTCCAAAAAATAAAGTCTCTCTCTTTAAGAACAGTCTGCAGCAGTCTGTAAAGTACTCACTTCACCACGGACACAGAGAGCATCAGGTGGATAGAGCATCAGGAGAATAGAGCATCAGGAGGATAGAGCATCAGGTGGAATGAGTCACATACACGGTTAGTATTCTGAGTTAGATCAAGAACATAACTTTTATAATGTACTTTTTCATTGCTATTTTTTCTATTGGGAAACCTCACAAGTTAAAAAAACCTCATCAGACGCACGGCGCTGATGTGGAAGAATGTAAAGCTGTTAATTTGCACTGTTGGCACATCGTCATGGAAACGTATGCAGTGAGTCTATGTGCTTCTGTCCGCACGCCTCACATCAGAAACATTTTAATTGTTCTTTTATTCCAGATCTTATTTTACTATTCTAGATTTAATAATCCTATATTTCACTCGCTGACACAAGACTCCGCAAAGACAGTTTTATTTTATGAACATGAGGCGTTTATAAAGATGTAATTCAAGCTTAAGCCTTATTTTGCCATCGCTGGTTTGTCTTTAATCTCATGTAAATGTTGATCACAGATTGTCGCGTCACAATGACCTGTTTGCATTTCTTATGATCAGATGTATTTTAACTTGTCTTTATAAATGTAAATAAAATATGGACCGTTTTTATATTTATTGTCAAGTTTTTTCAGTTCATGTCACAAATGGAGCCAGTGCTAAACATCAAATATAATCAGGACTAAAGCTTTGGAAACTAGACTCTTAGTTTAGAGGCTGAATCAGTGAATTAAAGGAGCAATCATGGATCAATAATAATAACGGGAGCAATATGTGAAACAAATCTGGCCAAAAGTGGTACTGCAACCTCTCCCAGTCTCTCAGGTTGCCAGATATGCAGACGAATCCAGCTGGGACCACAATAGCCAAATAGACATGAGCTTTTTAACAACAAATCCATAACCAACATCTTTTCTCACAAAGGCCCTGTTCGAAATCCTTGTTTTAATCCTTGTTTTGTCGTTAATGATTTGAGAATTTTGTAGTTCTGCGGCCACATGTTACTTTACCAGTGAGATTAGCTCGATGCGGTGAGTTCTGGCAACCCGGATCACGGACTCATAACGTGTTAGAAAATAGCTATAATAAAATATATCTCCTCTTTAAATGTCTGAGGAAAGGGATTCATGAATTATTAGCAACGTAATTCAACCCCCAGCTGTATGACCTTTAAAACTAACTTTATTATGATACTGTTATTTAAAGTTGCTACAAATATCAGTTTGAGTTAAAAATCAGTTCATATCCAAAAAGAGCACACAAGTGGTGTTGAAATTACTTCTGCCTCGTGCCAACACTTGCAGTACCAGATCTGGCCACTACTGAGCACTGTCCCCTTAGCTTGCATCTACACGCATGAAATATATCACTCACAATTCCAAAAAAATAAATTTATTCAAATATAGCATTTTATTCTTACTCATGATCATCTTTCCAAAAATTGATAAAGCTTGCATTTCAGTGCTGAATTATACAAATATATACAAACCACATTTCTCTTTAGGATCATAGTTCTCCATCAGTTTTGCCTTCAGTTCTATGTTCTTTGCATCATGAAGAAAAAAAACTACCCTCAGTCGTGTGTCCAGCTGAATAAACTAGTATCTAAAAACTTATATTGATTTGCATTCGCTCTTTGACAACAATGACAGAAAACAAGTGTAGGATTCTTATAACAACAAAGTTCTCCACAAAATACAAAACACAACAACAAGACGCTCAAAAGCTGTGCAGTACAAAACAATCGTCGATGCCAGTCTGTAAAAAGTATAAAAGCAAGCATCTCTGCAAGTAAACATGAAACACCCTAAAAATCATTAATTATGGAGAGACTGATGCGTTTGGCCACTTTTATTTGTCATGTGCGAGAAGGAGCGCTTTCAAACGGCGGATTTTCTTAAAGTTCTAAATCTACAAGTGAAGAAATGTGGAAGGATCCGAGGCTCAGGCTTTGTCCGCGGCTCCGAGGTCTTTGTTTCGAACGTGGTGGTGTTTTTTAGCTGAAACGAGAGTCCGGGTTTAAGAGAGAATTGATTTGTGTCTGATTTTAACAATGGTATGTTGGATCCTTTTACCTGTTTCTCTCTTCTGGAGTCTGTGTGGAATTTGTATAGTGTATGCTCCTGGTAACCCCGGGAGACCAGGCTGTCCCGGATCACCTAACAACACACATGTATGTATGTTAGGACCCGTGTATTATCACAAACATTTACAGGATACATGTCAAAACACTCTTTACCTTTGTCTCCTTTGAGCCCTGAGTAGCCCCTCTCCCCTCTGGGACCTGGGAGTCCTCTGGGTCCTGGGATGGTCCCGTGTGCTGCAGGAGGAGAAGACGAGTCAGATCTACAGCTACATGTCTCAGCTTCAGTGTCTGACGGTGAAGTGACTGCTACACAAATCACTGTTTACATTGTGTGTCTTATGTTAAACTACACTGTGCTGTGTGTTGCAAAGACCTTTGTTTTATAGATCATCGATGGAGGGGCTCTGAGGTGGGAGGGGTCTGGAGGATTTTACAACACTGGGAATCATGGTATAAAGACACTTGTATGTACAGGTATGTGTTTGTTTGCATCTAAGTATGTGTGTGTGTTTGTCTGTGTGTGCGTTTGCATGTGCTCACCCCTGAAGAAGTCCATCAGGTCAGCTGTTATATTGCCGTAGGAGGCCAGGACGCGGCTGTATCCCGGGGGGCCGGGGGGGCCTGCTGGTCCAGGGGGGCCCTGAATGGCTCGTACTTGAGTCCGCAGAGAGCCGTCCCCCAGATAGTCCTGCAGCAGACCTTGATCTGAGCAAGAGCAAAGAGAGAGACGTGTTAGTGTGTGTCAGTGTGAGTGTGTGTCAGTGTGTGTGAGTGTGTTTCAGTGTGAGTGTGTGTCAGTGAGTGTGTGACAGTGTGAGTGTGTGAGAGTGTGTGTCAGTGTCAGTGTGAGTGTGTGTCAGTGTGAGTGTGTGTGTCAGTGTGTGTCAGTGTGAGTGTGTGTCAGTGAGACTGACTCTTGATGTAGTCCGTGACCTTCATGGCCACATTAGAATAGTCCAGAGTCTCTGTGAGTCCCCGGATGTCGATCTCTTTGATCTGAGTTCCTTGGGAGCCATATCGAGAGTCTCCCTGGGAGTAGCTCTGCGTCTGGCTGTGGATGTAACCTGGCTCTCCACGGTCTCCCTTCTGTCCTTGAGGCCCTGGGGGGCCCATGATGGAGCGCCGGACACTCTCGCCTGCACACATCACTTAGTTGAATCACCTGCAACTGTTGCACTTATAATTCCACATGATCAGTGCTCACTGGACATGTAGTCCTGCAGCTCAGAGCGGAGGCTGTCTCGAGAGAAGCTTCCACTGTATGTGACTGATCCACTGTTTGAGCCTGGAGGCCCCTGGGGGCCCGGAGGACCTGGAGGCCCTGGTGCACCTTGTACCCTAGAAGCTGAAAATACAAGTCAGATGTGGTGACATCACCTCTATTCAAGAAATGGCTATAATCTCATACATTATGCATGTATATGGTGTATACATGTGATTAGGATGGACTGAAACATGAAGAGGAGTGAAATATAGAACCTCTGACATGCACTGTTCTAACTAAATAAACAATAAATAAATAAAACATATACTAACTCTGTATGTATCTCTGGATGTCCTCAAAGCTGTAGCTGCGGCCTCCTGAGCCATACACTGTGGAGGTGGACACACCAGGTGGTCCCTGGGGTCCTGGGGGGCCGGGTAGACCTGGGGCACCAGGGGATCCTGGGGGTCCAGAATTACTGTGCTGTAGGGCAGAGTTCATCCACGAGCGGAACTCTGAGTCTAAGAGTGAACAATGAACAAAGGTTGAAATGAGGATTGTTACATTTGGCCTAAAGTCTGAAGAGAACTCACTTCTCATAAGTGCAGAGTAATCAATGGTGGCTGTAGTAAACCCTGAGCTTCCAGGTCCAGGGGGTCCAGCCGGTCCAGGTGGTCCTGGTGGTCCTCTGCCGAGTCCTCTCTCTGAACATACACACTCAGTTAGACTAAATATCAGGAGTCATTTAGGACGCACTGAGACTTTCACCTGTTATGATTTTGATGACATAAGTGGATATCTGCTCCAAAGAGTAACCACCAAAGGAGCCATCGACCGCTGCTCCTGAGGGCCCAGGTGGTCCCTGTGGGCCAGGTGGTCCGATCACATACCTCCTCACATCGTCTCCTGAGGGCAGACAGTTAGAGACAGTGAGTGCCCTGGTCTCCGGATGTGTTTTTGTTTTAGGACCACAGGAGCCACAGCGAGGAGGGAGGAGGCTGTCACAGATGTGGCTCATTGTGTATCTTTGCTTTTTGTGTATCTTTACTCATCGTGTCGTATTTATAACCACAAACATCAACATTTGGCTTTGTTTTTTTGTTTTTGTTTTTAAAAAGACTTAAAAAATAAAAGTAAAAGTAAAAAACTTACTCTGTAACAAGGCTATTAGAGCGCTGACTGACAGAGTGCCCGGACCAGAGGGCCCAGGAGGTCCTGGAGGTCCTGGTAAACCGATTCTCACACTAGAGCCTGACCCTTAACAGAATGAAGAGGCTTTTAAGAAAAGCATACAAAGAATATAAACACACACAAAAAAGTAACACTCCAACCTACGTTGTAAGTATGCAATGATCCGAGTCGACAGGTCCTCGAGGGAGCCGGAGTAGGAGCCAGGGGCCCCTGGGGGCCCGGGGGGGCCTGGAGGTCCTTGTACAGCAAACTGACTGCTGCGGCCTGAATGTGCACATGACACAACATTCAACACCAGTGTTCAGAGTTAAAGAGGAACTTTAGAGCTCATTCCAATGAGGATCATACTCATGTAATCTGTGATGTACTGGCGAATGTCACTGGAAGAGGAGAAAGAGCCCGGCTGACCAGGTGGTCCCGCAGGTCCAGGAGGACCGGGAGGACCAGCAGTGACAGACACTGAGCCTGAAAAAGTGAGATCCAAAGTGGTCACATTTCAACTGTTAGAAATTATCATTCTGTCATGCACGCATCAGAACATAGACATTTGATCATTTTGCCCATTTCAGACAAATGCCAACACTGAAGAAATAAAACTCTGAATAAAACATACCTCTGGATGTGCCGGGAATACCAGGAACTCCAGGATCGCCTGAAAAGAAGAATGAGAGTCCAAAATGAGCATAAGAAATGACACAACAATGCGGCCAATGCCAGGATGCTTTGAGGTTACCTTTGGTTCCCTGTGGTCCCTGGGGGCCTGGGGGGCCTGGTGGTCCAGTGTAGTATGTTGTACCTGCAAAGTATCAGTTACGTTAAGGACTATGGGCAGATGAAGGACTGTCACATGGTCCGACTGTACCTGAGCTGGAAGCAAAGCCTGATTCTCCTCTGTCTCCTTTTGGCCCTGGTCTACCATAACCTAAGGAGGTTATATTCATTCATTTACATTCATAGTCTTATCACATCAGTAACTATGTATAATACTTACCAGGCTGACCAGGGACACCAGGAGGACCAGGTGGACCTTGTCTTGAATCTCCTGATGAAACAAAACAGTTTATATGAGATTAAAATATTCTGACGTGTGGGTTGTTAGTTTGGATTTAATACATTAATTATCATTTCCAGGGAGGCTACCTGGACGTCCTGGTTGTCCCGGGGGCCCGGGTGGTCCTGGGGGTCCCACTGCTCCAGAGACTCCACCTGCAGAGTATTGGTCTGAACAAAAACAGAGGACAGTTCTAAAAGATGCAAATGCTTTGGACAAAAGTGGAGAGAGCCTCCTGATGATTGAAGAACATGTGTGTCCAGAACTTACTTTGGGTTCTACTTGAACTGAGGGTTTCACTGGTTCTAACTGACACGCCTCGCTCCCCTTGATCGCCCCTGTCACCTTTAGGACCTTAACCAAAAACAAAGCATCTCTTACTTCCTGTGTGTGGCAAACGAGAGCAGGTTCTGAGGGAGAAGACTTACCAGTTTGGCCAGGAAGACCAGCTGGGCCAATTGGACCTGGCACAGTGAAACAAAGTCAGTTATAATAGTCCTCATGAGTTTTCAATAGTGTAGGTTCAGACCTGATAATCCTGGGGGGCCAGCAGGGCCAGGGGGGCCTGAAGGGCCTGGGGGTCCTGGGATCCCAACAGAACTAGAACCAGCTGGAAAACAACATGGAGAAGATAGTCTTATTCCTATGTCTGGATTAATGTGGTCAGAAAGTTGGAACAGTGAAGATGTAAAAGGAACAAAGAGTGATGGGCTGAAAGAACCAAAGACAGTGAAATGCCGACATTAAGTCATGTGTGAGATTATCTAATGCAGCAGATAAGTCTTCAATAAAAATATAGACACCATGTAAAATCTAAATAAGCCGATGCTGTCTTCTCTTACCTGCATTAATGATTCTTCCTGGTGCACCGGGTTCTCCTGACATGAACAGAGAGGAGATATATCATTGGTGATGTGGTTTCCTGATACATTAAAACATTGCAGATGTGAATGTCTTGTACCTTTAACTCCAGGTTGTCCTGGATTCCCTGCGATCCCTAAAACCAAAAAGCAATGATTGATAATGTTGTTGATGCTTTGTGCCTTTTACATTGAAGCTAAACACCAGAAACAGTACCTGGTGGTCCTTGCAGTCCTGGTTGACCTGTATGAATATGAGCAAGGCGATGAATGAGTCTGAATGATAAATATAAAGTGACAGACTAGTGTCTGACTTTACCTGGCATGCCGGCATCTCCTGGAGGACCGGCCGGGCCTCGTAGCCCTGGGGGTCCAGCTTGGCCTGAGTCCCCTATGAACCAAGAAATAATTTAGAAATATTTACATTTACGTGTTGTATACTGTATATATAAATGTAACAGAAATTATCAGTGACCAACCTCTTGAGCCTTTTGCTCCATCAATTCCAGAAAGACCTGAATAAAGGAGTAAATGAAACCAAAGTCAGACTCAGTAACATCTGCATGAGCTGTTTATCCAAATACAACATCAATGCCTTATCCACCAGGGGATGGAGCAGCTGAGACCTTTTAATACAATAACAAACATCTTTCCTGGTTAGATACAAAGAGAGACTACTGCCCTCTTCTGGGACATTTACATTTAACAGTTGTAATGATAGATTAGTTCTAATGGATGATGTCTTACAAACATAATAATAGTGATGTCATCGGCTCACCCATTGATCCTTTGGGCCCCATCTCTCCTGCCGGCCCAGGCGCCCCGGGTACACCAACATCACCTGAGAAATGGAAATGTATTCAAACACTGAAATATTGTTCTGTTGATTTATTGAAGATTATTTCTATAGTTTTGTGTGTGAGAGGGTATGACTGACCTGGCACCCCCCTCGGACCCTTATCGCCCGTGTCACCTGAAAAAAACATCGAGTTATTTGTGAACGATTTTTGAATGTTTTGTAGATGTCAAAGAAACAAACCTTTAAGACCTTGGAATCCAGGAAGGCCTCTGTCACCTAAAGTCACACACACACACATCAATATTCCCAAATTCAACCCATGTTATTTGCAAGGGCTACCTTTAGGCCCTGGCAATCCTTGTTGTCCGCTGAACCCTTGCACACCTGGTTGTCCTAAGAAAAGAGTGAGTCTTAAAAGAAAGAACACAGACTATAGTGCGTGTGTATCCCTGTCTAAACTCACCTGGAGGTCCATTGTGGCCAGGAGCGCCTGCCAAACCTAAATACAAAACCAAGAACAAGACTTCACATATGTAATAGCATACATAGGTACATATTATACAATAAACTAATAATAAATTATATATACGTGGAATGCTGGTCCACGCCTATTCAATGGCTGTGTGAAGTTGCGTGATATTGGCAGGAACTGGAACACACTGCTGTTATTGGCGATCCAGAGATCAATAGGTGATAAGTCTGGTGAGTATGAGGAAATTACAATCCGTGGTGGCGGTGGGGTCATGCTACGGGCCGGCGTTTGTTGTGCCATTCTTCCGCAACCATCACCCAGTTTTGTAATGTAAACTATTCCTGGAAGTTGGAAACATCCCAGTTGCACCATGGACTCATACTCACTCGACAACTGACATAGGTCCTTTCTTCCTGCTGCTGTCAGATTGTACGATGAGAACTGCTGAGTCTATAAATTTGCCACTCCCCTGTTCTGATAGTCCACCTAACTAGTCGCTAGTAGTCACTTTACTGATGTTGTTATTATTATTATTACTACATTATAAGATATTCCATTCATCTGATATTTCTGTTCGGGAAATTCACTAGTCACTTTAACTGCTGCTATTATTACTATTGTTTATTTAGATTCCTTTCTCAGACTGGAGTGAGAGAAATGGTCTGATTCTCAATGTGTCCAAGACCAAGGAAATGACTGACCAAGAACATTGACTTTCACAGGAGCCCTTCCCATCAACAGATCACCGTAAATGGACGGGACATCGAAGTGGTTCAGTCTTACAAATACCTAGGAGTCCAGCTGGACCACAGACTGGACTGCTCAGCTCAGGCCATTGCTGTATAAGAAAGATCAGAGCACACTTTTCTTCCTGAGAAGACTGAGGTCCTTCGATGTGAGCAGTCTAATGTTGCACATATTTTACCAGTATGTGGTAGCTAGTGCCGTGTTCTTTGGGGTTGCGTGTTGGGGCGGCAGCCTGACCTCGGGAAATACTAACCGGCTCTACAGGCTGATCAGGAAATGTGTCTGTGATGGGGAGAAGTGTGGACTCTGTGGGAGCTGTGCTGGAGAGAAGAATGAGGGCTCTAATTCAGGGCATCCTGGGTAACTCCAGAAACCCTCTGCATGACACTATGGCCGCTCAGAGGAGTAATCGAAGCAACAGGCTCCTGTCACTACGCTGCCGAACGGAACGTTTCAAGAGATCCTTTGTTCCTTCGGCTGGATGAGTCTTCTGCTGCTGGACACCTGAATTTCTCCTACGGGGTATCAATAAAGTATCTATCCATCTATCTATCTATCTAATGTACAATATAAACATCTGTAAATACCTCCTGCTTACAACAGTGTATACTCCACTGACTAGTGCACTATTCTTGAGACATGCGCAGTTATAGAGTTGTACATTATTTTATTACTTATTACTTATCGTACATATTTTATTTTATTTTATTATCAATTATCCTAAATACTAGATCCTGTTTGATATGTGCAGCCTGAGTGCTCTAATTTCCTCTGTTCCTATAATTCTGCTGTAATGTGTGCAACGTTGACATTGAAATTTCCCCCACTGGGACAAATAAAGGTCTATCTTATCTTATATCTCATGCTGGAGTGAGATGCTCGGGATTGCTCTATACTACAGCCTGTTCCAGTTCCAGACAATATCAAGCAGCTTCCCGCAGTCACTGAAGAGGAGTGGACCAACACTCTATTGCCACAATCAAAAGCCTTTTTAAAGTGCTGCACAGTGTGAAGCAAAGTGTGTCACACTAGATACTGACTGCCCCCCTCTCAGCATCTTATATGTATGGCACAGCTCTGAGGTGGGAGGGATTGTCTCAGCAGGGAAAAAATGGGATAAAAAGTGTTGTAAAAGTGTTGCTAGAGGGGGATTATAAACTGTACTCTTCAGAATGCGCACATATACAGGTCTTGCTATGTGAGAAAAGAAAATGACCCAGAATGACGCAGATAATGACTCATACTGACTCCCACTGCTCTACTCTCTTCATCAGCCTCGTGTCAAAGCTGTATTTAGAATCATGATGAAAGACAACCGATGCCTGAGACATCACGTTGGTGAAAAAAAGGATTTGGGAAAAAAATAAAAAAAATAAATGGAAAATTAAGTTGATCTTTTTGCAATTTATGGACTCACTTTGATAGAAGTTCATTAAACAATAACATTTGATGATACCAAAACATCACCATGAGTTAATTAAATGGCACATTAATTAATTCAGGGTTGCATCAAGAGGGTACAATAAACACTGTTCTGGAAACTGGTCTGGCACTACAGCGGGGCACTACTTAAAAGCAGATAACAGCTTTAAGTACTGCCCCCTGGTGACATTTATAAGGATTGCACAATGCAGTATGCAGGTTGTTATTTATTAAAATACAATTATATCCACTACCTTTTGGTCCGACCGGGCCCATAATCCCAGGACCCCCAGGCTCACCAGCAGCTCCTGTCAACACATGTTTCAGTCACCGCGCTGCACGTCAAGCTGCAATTATAACAGTTTGAAGAATTGTTTGTACCTTTGTCTCCTTTCTCTCCAAAACCTTGTGGCCCAGGCTCTCCTCTGGGACCTTGTGGGCCCTCACGGCCCCTGAGACCGGGTGGCCCCTCTGGTCCCGCCTCACCTGGTCACAAATACAATACGTCAGGACTCAGAATGACCACAATAAGACACAGGTTTGACTCTTTGACACAGAGCAGATATGATATTTGTTTTCTTGTATTAGTGTTTTTTAGATTATACTGTACCCATAGTTCCTTTTTGGCCTTTGGGACCCTCTGGTCCAGCGTGGCCCATGGGACCTGAGGACAGAACTCACTGTGAGTCGTGTGATCAGTGACATCACAGCAATAATTGTATTCTTAATCCTCACCTGGACTTCCTGGGTAACCCATTTCTCCTGTAAAGAAAATAATATCATGATTATATCAACAATCTACTGCAAAGGAGCCAGAAGGTAATAATGAAATGAAATCAAAATAATGTTAAACCTTTTAATCCTGCATCTCCTATAAAAATACAAAACAAAAGATTATTATTAATATTCGTTCGAGTCAATGAAAGTCAGTAATGAAAGAGTCCTTACCTTTAGGTCCAGGAAGCCCCCGCTCTCCACCTACTGATGCTGACGCCAAGTATGCTAAGAATAACACAACCTCACATTAATAACTGAAGATAATATTACACATTGTCTCATCATTAACGATGTAAACCATTTGTTGCAATGTGTTGGTGAACAGTCTTTTACCCCTGAATGCTTGAGACTGCAGCTCAGACCTCAGATTCTGCTGGATGACCATCTGCAGAGTGGCTGCGTCCAGCTGTCCTCCGCTCCAGGTGAAGCTGGTCCCTGCGCCTCCACTGGCCCCACTGGTCCCGCTGTAGCTGGTGGAGCCTGACGAGGTGTATTTGGTGCCACTGCTGGTCTCTGTGTACCTGGACATGGTAGAAGTGGTGTTAAGAGAATATGACGAGACCATTCACTCAGAACATGAAACTGTCTATACGTTGTTTCAACTCTTTAACCAAAAAACTGATCAGATATGGTTCACATTCATACATGACCAGGGGTGACTGACTGTGTGACACTCAAGGGGCGCCTCCTGCTGGTTATCACCATAGACTAGAAAAAAATAATGGCAATTTTTTCCGCCATCTTGTGGTTGTTTGCTGCACTGCATCTGTTCTATTGCAGATTACATTTGATAGTTTACACTTTTAGCTATGGTTTCAACAACAAAACAAAATAATGTTTAACTCTGCATCATGTTAAAAAAAAATAAAGTTGTCCATATTATAAATGTCTCTAAATCAGCTTTACCTTGATCGGTGACATGGAAGGAATGGAAACTCTACTAACTGCACTCTACTGGTGCTTTGATACTATATTTGATTACTATCGGGAATACCACAATTATACAAAAACTGAAACCTATTTTGTTTGGGTTTATCAAAAGAGGGTAGTTGGTGCCACACATGGGAGGAAACATGCAAACTACACACAGAGAGGACTGGGCAGCACAAGAATCAAACCCACAACCATCTTGCTGTGAAGCATGAGTTTACAAACTTCATGCCGCCCACTGTGTCACTACTTTGATTCAATGTGCTCTGAAAAGATGAAAAGCTGCCAGCCCCATTCGTTGCCTTTTCATGCTTTGCTCTTGTGGTTCTTGTGGTTCTCAACCTGCACAAGATTTCCAGTGTGTCCACCTCTCACTTCCCTCACCAGACTCACATATCATCCACCTCCTGCTCCACCTGCCCACAGCCTCTAGGACTATCAGACTCCTAACGAACACTGCCCCAGTATGTTTACATTCGGTGTACTTGTGCACTTTCTACACTGACGTTTGAGTGATGCTCTGAATGTAATTTTGTCGTTTCCTTTGAGTCTGACAATGACAAATTATATGATCTTGAATCTTAAAAAAGCACGACGAAAATACAAAGAGATTTAGGACTCAAGAAAATAGTTAGGCATCCGTGTTCTAGAATAACTAACTTGAACTCTATTGGCTGAATATTGTACCTGGTGTCAGTGGAAGTGCCGGTCCCTACACCTCCGCTGCTGCCGGCTCCACCTCCGCCTCCAAAGTAGATGATGGTGTTCCCGGCTCCTGTTCCAGCCCCCGCTCCTCCTGCTCCTCCTGCTCCTCCAGCCGCTCCTGTTGCTCCTCCTGCAGCTCCCCCACCTCCAATCACCGCCACTCCACTTGTACCAGCTCCAGTGGCCCCTCCTGCTCCCCCGGCTCCACCTGCTGTCCCGGCTCCCACCCCCACCCCCACACCTACTTGTGCATCAGACCCAGTGCCAACAGCGGTGCCAGCTCCTCCACCACCCCACCCTCCGGCAGTCCCAGCCCCGGCTATCGCAGTCCCCGCCCCCGCTGTCCCAGCCCCTCCTCCCAGGTAAATGTTGGTGCCTCCAGCGCCTCCAGCTCCGTCCAGAGAATTGTTGATATCGCTTCCACCCGAAAAGCGACTGGTGCGAGCGGAGGTGACAGCGGACTCAGCCTCCAGCGAAGCCATGCGGTTCTTCAACTTCTTCACGTCCTCCGCTGGAAAAGAACAAGTGCATAATGTTCACAAACAGGGTCTATACTATACTGTATATCAGAATAAGGCTAAGAATGTGTAATATAGAACCACATGTGTCCACTGTCACCTTACTGAGTCACTTTATACCCTCATACAGCGAACATGTACAGAAGTATACATACAACTATATATCTGTTTGATAAGATGTAAACTGACTTAAGTGACAAATGTTTACTTGTTTGCACCTGTGAACTAGTCTGCCCCAGCCCAGACTGCACTCCCCTCCTCAGTCCTGCACCACACCGCCTCAGTCCTTGTTCTAAAGGCTGAGTCTTGGACCTACAACCCGTCTCAATGTGGGCCTCTCAAAGGTTTCTCACTTTGATCCCACTGAATTATTTTGAGTTGACCCTTGCAGATGCAGACAGTGATGATCTGGGACATTTATGGACATCTGCCATTCATCATACCTATGGACCAATGGCTCCTACGTGTTTGATTCTCTGATCTGTTGTTGGTGACTGCTGTTGTGGTTTAGGGCTATACACAAATACATATAATTTAAATGTTTGGTGGTTTTACAGGCACAAATAATGCATCTCTTAATTGGGTATATTCTGGTTCAGTACACCCTCCAGAATGTCCAGGATCCTCCCTGTGTGATGGAGGCGCTCACCACTTCTATTTGTGATGTAAAGAACGTAGAGCGTGAGATTGTGCCTGTTGGAGAAACAGCAGCAACAGAATGTGTCTTGTTCCCCAAACCAGACCCCTGACTATGTTTAGAAATTCTGTCCTTTAAAATCTGAACAGTAACAAAGGACAGTCCTGTAGGAGGCACTGGGAACAGATCTGATTTAACCCACTGCATCCTGTGTTTTACTGTGGTCTACACACTGTGATTCGGGACAGTACACAAACAGGTTCAAGGGATACATTTTGTCTTTCAAAGATGTGGGGGAGGTAAAAGTACTGACCATGAGTCCTTAAGTTGAAGTAAGTAAGGTTTTTAGAGGTTTTCTAGAAAAGTGAGTTTTCCCCTAAATCATTCACACATTCCGATGTGTGGAAATTTACAAAACACTGGGTTCTTACAAACTTTCAAAAATGTGGTTCTGAGCCAAGGGTTATTCCAGTTCACAGAAGTTCATTTGTTGTTGATTATAAGTTGAAAGGACACAGATTCAACACAGATGCAGCTACGATCCAAAAGTCCACATTCTGCACATCTGCTCCTCTGCACACTGTAACCACACTCTCACTGTTTCTTGTCAAAAGCCTTTACAGACATTTCCCCCAGTCACCATCTCGTATCCACGCATGTGTCGCTTGATTTAGTCGTCCGGGATTAAAAAAACAAATCCTTTTTGCCAAAATCAAATTGCTTACGTTACATAAGAGACATTCACCAAGACCACTCTGTTCGACTTAATTGGATCTAATATAATGCACACTCATGACTATAAAGACATTTACTGAGAAGACCACACCTGGATCGACATGTAACAATATAAACATTTGTAAAAACAGTCTTTTCATTGCACTCTTAGTTTGCAGATGTCTTTTTCGACATTTTCTGGTCCATTTTGTTCTTAATGTTTACAGCAAATATAGAGAATGTGAATGAGTTTCTTGTTTGCAAATTAAAACTTATTTTTCACTTGTGACAAAGGCCAAAAAGGCATGAATGTGAAAACTAGTGATAGAAGTTAGAAACTGCTTTGAGAGCAAGGAACTCGTCACAACAATTTTGATCTCGTAGTTCCCATTTTTGGAGTGGAAAAGTTGGGTATTCCAGCTTTAAATGTAGGTATGATCACTAGAGGGCCCTGTACACCATAGTTAAGGTGACGGGTCCCTTTTTGGTTAAATATTTTCTGTCACATTACCAACTTTCAACTAACTATATGCCAAGGTGTGATGACTTCAGGGCGTCTTTTTATTACTCAAGCTCGGATAACAAATTGTTTTTCCAATAATTTTGTGTGTCTGTTGATCTCTGGTGGAGGTGTTTTATTTTCGTTTAACTTACATTGTAACCTGTTGCTGCGTGAACTGTGAGGCCAGACTCACTGTCTGTTTGTGTAGAGTCTGTTCTGAAATGAACTGTCCTCTTGGATCAATAAAGTTTTCTAAATCTGAATCAATTCAAAGTAAAATAATAATAATAATAATCCAGGTTTGCCTTCAGACCAGACACTATTCACTATTGTTTTTAATATTTGAGAGGCTGGCACACACTTCAAAGGCTCTTTTTAGTGAGTTCTTTACAATAAAAAAAATTCTGCAACAATGCCCAAGCCCCACTCTATGGACAGTGAATGAAGCTCGACCACAATGTGACCGCATCATGTTTCTTCACAGGAGTTGTTTTACTTTCTCATGGCTCCCTGCAACTTTTCTTTCTCACTGTGAACCCCAGACTGATTTAACACTAGGACCGCCGCGCTCTAAACATACCTTGCACCGCCCCCTGCGGTCAGTTGACCGCTATGTATTTTGCGCTGATACAGCCTTTTGCCAAATTGATTGTTCACTAAACCAGAACTTGATGTTGCAAGGAAATCGTGATCGTAATGAAACTGTGTAAATTATTTGTCTAAAGATGCTAAGTAATTGTAATTCTAGCTGAAATAAAAGGCTAAGACGACACATTGTGCGTGTACTGATCCATCAAAATTACAATGACCTTTCAGGCTAGATGTATTTTGTAACTTTGCGAACACCTAAAAGGTTGGTCACTATATGTTAAATTTGACTCTGTAACAATATGTCATTTCAAACAATATAAATGATGGTTTAGAAAAGCACGGGACCATAACGTCTTCGCGCTGCTATATGCGTCTGCTTCTTACGTCATCTCCAGACTGTTTTCTCTTTACAGAAGATCAGGCCCTGCAGAGGAACATCTCTGCATTTAGAGCTGCTTTGTGGACATCCTGTGATCATGAGATCTAGGAAAGCAGAACTAACTTAACTGCAGTATGACAGAAAGTTACGAAACATGATAACTGTACAGATACTGCACACTACTGCAATTAGAGTCAGCAGTTCTCACAGTTATGTGAGACTGCCTGGATGTTAACAAAAAACAAGGTGGAAAAGAAAGGGGAATCATGTATGCATTTCTATTCCCTTTTTAAGTAACATATCTGAGTAATAAAACCTCTTCACAGCATGTGTCTTGTTCAAAAACAGAGCTATTCAATAAGTTGACTTGTTAACAACTATTTCAACAATTGACATTTGTGTCCAACCTTGAGGAAATTACATCATATTTTGCTTCTTCAGGTATAAAGCAAAATTGCCCAGATGTCTCAAGAACAGTTAACGCCTTCAGAGTAAGTTTAGTAATTGAAGTAATTATTTATATAGCACATTTCACAGACATACATTTTTTATGATAAAAAGGAAGCATACAATTGGCAGTAGCCACTTCACTCTGGGTGTAGTCATAGTCTCGTCACTGTGGTGTTTTTTGTCTTTTTGTCAAAATAAAACACTGCTTCTTACTTGGAACATGGTGTTTTCTTAAATCCGGGACAGAGAGACAAACAGACAATCAACCCGTCAACGGTTGCATTATTAATAAATAATGCATTCTTTGGAACCATGAATACTTTCAGATATTTAAAACATTTGAATAAACAATGGGAAGTTACAGCACTTGCAGGTAATGACTATTCTGTTCAGCTTCCAGCCCTGTGCTTTAAGCTCAGATTTGTGAACATGATGCACTCAGCCTGCCCTTAGTTTAGATTGTTTACATTATGTAACATCACTCTGCAGGATACAATAAGACATGACAACTACGCTCTGTGGGCCATTGGATCTGACGGTCGTAATACATACATACAGTGTTTTTAACAAACAGCTAATACACCAGATTTAGATCAAGCTCCATCAGTCGGCCATTTCCCACGCACTGAACCCCCATCACATTCTTCTCCACCGCTCCAAACAGATGAAGCATTATACTCTGCATTACAAAAACTGTACATAAAGAGATGAGATCTTTTATTCGTCCCACAGTGGGGAAATTGCAGTGTTGCATCACCAGTTACTGCAGTAAGAATGAGGAACACACAACACAAGATAAGTGAACAATTACTGTAAACTAAAATAAAATAACACGTTTTTTTTTAGCGTAATTAAAAAGTAAATCTAAAATCTTCAACATCAGCATAGTAAAAGCATGAATTACGTATTATATTGAGAAATGGACATGAGGGGGACCATTAGGTAAGAAATGTGCTTATACAATCATTTCAAACGTACGTTTCATATGATGTTAGTACAAAACATCCTCCAGATTCCCAAACACACAAGAGCTCTGTCTGAGTGAAGTTATGTCAATGATGGTGGGTTCCATGATGTCACCGTTCCCTCCTCTTCCCTAAGCAACCAAACAAGTTATCCCCATCACACACGAGTCATGGAAGCAGCATCTAACCATGGATCTATTAACTCACATTTGATACTAAAACAAACTGTAAGCTAGCGACACGTGGCCTTATCATTAGCACAAACACGCGCGTAATCACCACGTGCGGTTTGGGCAAATAGTTCTGAAACTGCCATAGCTAGCAAACAACTTTAGCTAGCCTACGTTGTTATTTTAGACCAAACCGAACGTACCTTTAGGCAACTCTTTGGGCTTGTTCGTTCGCGAGCGATTCGCGCGTCAAAAGCTTCAAGTGAGCGCGTATTACGCGCAACCTTTGAAGCTTTTTGACGCGCGCCAAGTGACGCCGGGCCCCTTGGCTTCACCTGACGCGCTTCACCATTCACTTTCCATGCAAACCTGACGCTTTTGACGCCAAAGTTAAGTCCAGTGTGAACGCCCCTTAAGACGTGAAATTTTTTAATTTGCTGTGTACAAATAACCATACCTTCTCTCTTTTCTTCTCCTTTTCGTGTCCACCGAGTCGTCTACTCGGTGCTTCTCCCTCGTCTGTCACAGGGGGCGATTCCAAATTGCCGAGAGCAATTGCTTAGAAAATATTATTTTTAAAAATATTCGCAACATTTTATACCATATACCAGCTTAACATACATCAACATTTAATGAACAATGTGCAAATCGATTAATAAAAATTAATCGATTTGCACTGAAAATTATATTAGATTTGAGTAGAAAATCAAGCTATTAATGCCCCCCCCCCCCCCCAATGTGACCTGATGTAATGCTAATTTCATCTGCATACTGCTGTAGAGAAACTAGTTAGCACTCATGATAGCATAGCTTGTCTTTCCTAGTTTTATTATAGCTCTGTCACGCCATGAATACACAAATCTGACAACTAGTGGCTATCAACGAAATCCATTTACACATTTTCCTAAGTTACCCACATACTTTATGTATAAATCGGCCGTTGTTTGTTATAAGTTAGGATGTAGATCATAGACTTAGCAATAGCTACTTACCGTTAGCATACCTGCGCATTTGTTTACACTGGGAGCCACCTAGCATGTGGCTAGCGCTAGCACCGAATTAAGTCACGTCAAAAACGTCCCTTTTCAACATTTTATCAAACAAGCCAATGGCACGGTAGTGACATGTAGTTGGTCATTTATCTGTTGGTAGGTGATGAGTGTACTGTAGCTAACTAGTTGATGTGAGGGAACACACGGCCAAGCGCACAAACCTGCAGGAGGAGGAGTGCAGATTGGAGCACTCGCTGCGGTGGACGCACGATTCACAGATAACTTGTGCATACTGTTGTAGCTATTAAATTCATAGTAATAATCTAAAAGTGTTTTAATTGCAAATGATCATATTTGCAGTCACGTATTTGCTGTACAGGGCGTCATAAACAGCATGTAAAAACAGTGCAATGCTTGTGTCAATCTTGAGAGCTCTACACATGGTATTATATCACATATCATGATTCTACCAATGACAAACGTGTTCATTAACTCATTCACTGCCCATGACGACAAAACTCGTCATGTTGAATAGTAACGCTCACTGCCCATGACGAGTTTGACGAGTTTTTCATGTTATTACACGGGAGGCTACAGTAATGTCTGGCGCACCTTGTGAATGACCCACAATACTGATATATAGTGCAAATGTACCTGTAATGATAAATCAACACCAGTAGGATGCAGTATTGCACCACAGGAGAGGTCATAAGTCAGTGGAGAGGAGGAGGAGGAGTGTGGGGGTCTTTGGAGAGCGAGCTGCTGTAGCAGAGCGAGCGATGATAGCGTAGCATTGAGACGGATCAGCGATCTAGTTTAGCAATAGTATAGCAAGAGTGATGGCGAAAAAGAATAGTTATAAGCAGTGTACACTGCTTCAGAGATTGACTCGCGGATCAGTGGGTGAGGTCGAGAGGGGAGAGAGTGGAGACCCCGGTGGAGGTCCGTCTCTGCAGCCCAGAGCCCGGAGCAGGGACACACCTTCCGCCTCTCGCAGCGTATCAGCTGCTGCTGTTACTGATGCCTCGGATTCGTTCAGAGAACCTGATCATGATTTATCGGATGAGTGGTTGCAGTCTCAAACCAGCAGAGCATCCTCTCCAGAAGCTCCACAAAGAGTCGAAGGTAAGAACTTGCTAAATTGCCAAGAAAATGCAAACTTGAGAGGAGGGAAAGGCGCGGAAACTTGCTCTGATCTGCTAAGTAACACAGCGCTCAAATCCTACTGTTTCTTTAGTAAATGCCAGTTATGCGTTTTATCATTGTTGTATTTATTATTTTTATGTTTAGTTATTTCATACTTGAACATCTTGTTGCAGTGACATAGCTCTGACTAAATGAAATGTGTTCTCCATTCACAGATTCTGATAAAAGAGCCCTCCCCATTGGGGTTGACAGGGCATGGAGGTAAAGATAATTCCTCCTCATACCATTGTACTTTTGTATATATTCTCCTGGTATAGTGATTTACAAATTTATATTATTTACAGGTGGTGCATCGAGAGGCAGTTGCTGTGCACAAAAAAGGTAAAAGAACTATTTCTATTCTTGTACATCCCATGGCAATATAATATAATAATAATAATAATAATAATAATATAGTATACTTGTTTGGTCCAAAAGTAGTCAGTCAATAATGTGGGAGGAAGGCCTTCATTTTATTTTATGTATTGATTTATTGTAACAAATTCACTGTATAATATAGTTATTGTGTGTATCCATTTTCCAGCACGTTCGTCACCCAGAAGCTCTGGGGAAGATGGCTGACAGGAGGATCAGTGGGAGCCGAGTCAGTTGCTCTTCACAGGAGCTGCTGGACCTCAGAGACTGCGGACAGAGGCTGCGAAGCTGGATTCATCTGATCCAGACTTTCTGGAGCTGGATTCATCTGATCCAGACTTTCTGGAGCTGGATTCATCTGATCCAGACTTTCTGGAGCTGGATTAATCTGATCCAGACTTTCTGGAGCTGGATTCATCTGATCCAGACTTTCTGGAGCTGGATTCATCTGATCCAGACTTTCTGGAGCTCTTCTTCACGGAGGGAGAACTACAAATGGTACACAGCGTGTCGTGTTCCGTTGCACACAGTGTTTTAACCTCTACAACTCAAAGCTGAACTACTGGGAGGACTGAAAAAGCAGATGAACTCACTCATACACACACTCACGAACACTCACACGAACACACACACGCACACAGACACTCACTCGCACACTGACATTCACACACACACACACACTCAAATTCACATGCGTCATTCTATTTTATACATCTATAGTTTTATGGATCTTTGTGTTGTTGTTGTTTGACGTTTTGGTTGATGGTATAGAAGAAAGTTCAATTTTCTATCTGTGAATAAATTGCCAACAATTTGCCATCAAAAGTATTATTTCAGAGTCATGTTTTTATAATTTTTGTAATGGAACAAGTGTGAAGATGTTTTTAGTTGTCACTAAAGCAGCAAAAATGCATCTAAAAGTCTCTTTTCTGCTTGATATGTTCCTGTTTACATACAGCTCGTTTTCTCTGTTTTCTTGCTCAGACCAGGTGTTATGGGTGAAAGTATGCTTTGTTCTATGGCGAATAGCTCAAGAACGGTAAGAGGTAGAAACAAACTGTTTTTTTCAGAGTAAAGCAGAGAGGTTAATCTTTAATTTGGTGCCCTTGGTGTTTACATCGTCTAAAAAATGAATATTCTGTGGCACTTCAAAGTTGGGTCAAATCACCTGAAATTGCTGGCAGAACGCACTTCTCAAATCTGAAAATGCCTGGCAGTCAGTGAGTTAAGAGTAAAAAATACAGAAATGAAAGTGAACCTAATGGGAATTATATTGATTGTGTTGAATTATAAGTAATTCAACACAATTTGAATGTACAGGTGCTTTCATGATAAACATTGACACTATAGTGGTATTGGATATTGAAAGAGTCTGTCCCTCCTATTACTTTTTCTTTATTTCTCTTTTTAAATCCACTATAACAAGTAGGTGTATGGGGTTCATTAATACATGCTAACTTTGCATCTCATTTTTACAGGACGCTGCTTTTACTGTTGACGTTTGTGAAAGATGCAGCATCTCTCAGGTAATAAACTTGCTACCTTTTTCTTTTCAAAGTATTAGCGTATCTGTTTCCTAAGTCGGGACACTTCGAGCTAAAAATGAGTGTTTTTTACCTTCAACCGGTCATAAATTTGTTTGTCTGCACCTCTCGCTGATTTAACTGACATCAGACTAAAGTTCATTTTCTTAGGTTTCTAATGGTGTATGACATGGGCAATTGTCTTTGTTAGTTGTTTTGTAATGTTACAAAGAAGACCACAAACCTCGTGATTTTTGCGAGCCGGAAGTATTAGCCTGAGTCGGACAGCGGTATTATCCTGAGTCGGACTGTAGCTAGCACTAGATTAATATTGTGCAACGTAAACTTAGTTCACATCTGAGTTGTTGATCCCTATTATGACCTTGTCTTATGATTAATTTGAATAACTTTCATATGTATTATCCCATTAGCGTTAATTATTTCCGTGTTTCCCCACACGCATTTACAACATATCAGTGTATGACCCCATCTAGTGGATATTTTCTCTATTGCATGTATTTTTATTGTACAATTTCATCATGTAATGCAAATTTTAAAATCCCATCAAGAAACTATGAGGCTTTGCTCATTGACTACCAGCCATTTCGATGATTTCACTGATTTTCAACACCCACAGAATATTGTGTGCTATGACCATGGATCTATAATAATAATGGCTATGACTAGATTCTGAAAGACTAAACTGTCTACTTTCAGCAGAAAAAAATAAGTGTTTCCGGATTGTTTTGTTCTCCTATGATCACCAGCCAAAAAGAGGAGAGTGTGACAGAAATCCCTCCACATGCTCTCTGTCAGCTTTAGATACACCTTTACTGCTCAAACTGTCAGTATGTAGAAACTGTTATTATTGTGAATTCATATTGCATACAGTTTATTGCAAAAACAAGAAATTCAAATAGTAAATGTTTTATTGTGTGAGACATGCTATGCAATAAGATGTAAAAATGCAATATAAAATAAAAATATTCAAATGAAAATGTAGTATAAAAATATTCAAATAAAGATGTAGTATATATAATATTCCAATAAACTATTAAAAATGTAGCATAAAAAATATTCAAATAAACTAATGAAAATGTGATACTAAAAAACAATCAAATATTCAAGTAAACTAATAAAAATGTGATACTAAAAAATAATTCAAATAAACTCATCAATCAATCAATCAATCAATCAAATTTTATTTATAAAGCGCTTTTCATACATAAGATGCAACACAAAGTGCTTTACAGATTGGTTAAAAACAATCCCGCCGGCCCAAGACCCCTCCCCCAGACCACCCAACAGACCCCCCCCAAACCACAGACAAACACACACACACGCGCTCATGAACACTCATACACACACACACACACACACACACACCATGCCAGTAAAACAATAAAAACATGATGAGAGACTTGGCAGGGTTCAGATGCAACCAGCTGAAAAGCGTCATCCAAGGAGCCGTCTGCACCAGGAGCAGAGAGCCGCCCGTAGCCACAGGGGACGACACAGGACCCAGAGGAGACATGAAACCGAGGCCCCAGGCCCCCACCAGGCCCAAGAGTCCGACCCCCGCAGCCACACCGACCACTGCTCCCGGTGCAGAGGGCTCCTCCAGAGGAAACACTGGGTACACTAAAAACAATACAATAAGTAAAACACTAAAATGTGAGACTAAAAGGAACACACAATACATGAATAATAGCAATAGCAATATAATAAATAATAAAAATAATAAAAGATAAATAGAATGGAATAATAAAAACTAATCAAAAGCTACTCTAAAAAGGTGCGTCTTGAGCCTACTTTTAAAAATATGAACGTTCTCTGCGGCCCTGAGCTCCTCCGGCAGACTGTTCCAGAGACGGGGGCCGTAGTGCTGGAAAGATGCCTCGCCGTGAGTGTGTGTCCTGACTTTGGGGATGGTTAGGAGTCTGCTGCCGGAGGAGCGCAGGGGCCGGGAAGGTTCATAGGATAAAAGCAAATCTGAAAGATAAGAAGGCCCAAGACCATTAAGACATTTAAAAACCATTAAAAGAACCTTAAAATCGATTCTGAAACACACGGGGAGCCAATGCAGCGATTTTAAAACCGGTGTAATGTGGTCCCGCCCCCTGGTCTTAGTCAGGACACGTGCGGCCGAGTTTTGGAGTAATTGAAGACTTGCAATGTTCTTTTTGGGAAGACCAGAGAGCAGGGCATTACAATAGTCAATGCGACTGGTGATAAAAGCATGCATCAGCGTCTCCGTGTTGCCCCGAGAGAGAATGGGGCGGACTCTGGCGATGTTCTTTAGATGATAAAAACCTATTTTTGTGATACTCTTGATGTGAGGAATAAAAGTCAGCTCAGAGTCAAAGATTACGCCCAGATTTTTCACTTGTGATGATGGATTAAAAGAGTGTGATTGGAGTTTTGATAAAAGTTTCTCTCTCTGGGCCTCAGGACCGATGACTAAAACCTCAGTTTTGTCCTGGTTAAGCTGGAGAAAGTTTTCTGCCATCCAGGATTTCAGGTCTAAAATGCAGTTAAAAAGAGCATCCATTGGCCTGGTGTCATCAGGAGACATGGAGATGTACAGCTGAGTATCATCTGCATAACTGTGGAAGTTAATTCCATGTCTCCTGACGACACCGCCAAGAGGGAGCATGTACAGGTTAAAAAGGACTGGACCTAAAATGGAACCCTGGGGCACACCACATGTGATTTTATGGACCTGAGAGGAGCAGGTATCCAAACTTACCATGAAGGATCTGTCTGTTAAATAAGAAGTGAACCATTTGTGGACAGCACCAGAGAGGCCGAGGTGTTGTAGGCGTGATAAAAGAATTGTGTGGTCTACTGTATCAAAGGCAGCGCTAAGATCCAGTAGAACCAACACAGTCACCTTTTTGAAATCATAACTTAGTCTAAGATCGTTTAAAATCTTTAAAAGAGCAGTCTCTGTGCTGTGGTTCACCCTAAAACCTGATTGAAATTTCTCTAAAATTTGTTGCTGATCTAAAAGGCATTGAGCTGGGTAAAAACAAGTTTTTCTAAAATTTTGCTTAAAAATGGTAAGTTGGATACCGGTCTGTAGTTGTTAAAATCATTAAAATCTAAATTGCTCTTCTTCAGAAGGGGTCTCACCACAGCCGCTTTGAAGGCTGCAGGAAAGACCCCAGTCTGAAGAGAGCAATTCATCAGGTTTAAAAGCTCCTCTCTAAAAGATTCATAAAATGACTTAAAAAATGGAGTGGGGACTGGATCTAAAAGACATGTGGTGGGCCTCACTGAGGAGAAAACTTTATCAAGCATCTCAGCATCAACCAGGACAAAACTGTCCAGTGTTTCCTCTGGCGAAGACAAACAATCAGATGTGTTAAGAACAGTAGTGCGGTTGGATAAAATGTTACATCTGATTGTATTTATCTTCCCCGTGAAGTGGACTGCAAAATCCTCACAGAGGGAGTCTGTGGGGGTTAAAAGAGACATGCTAAAATCAGGGTTTAAAATGGTGTCGATGGTTGAAAAAAGGATTTTTGGATTATTTTTATTCTGGCTGATTAGATTTGCAAAGTATTTGTTCTTATGATTTCTAATTGTGTAATTGTATGCTTTTTGATTGTTTTTATATATTTCGTAGTTGATTGTTGTTTTATTTTTCCTCCATCTTCGTTCTGCCACCCTGCACTCTTGTTTCATTTTGCGTACTTCTTCATTTCTCCATGGGGGTGCAGATTTTGTTTTTATGATTTTTGTTTTTAAAGGAGCCACCTGATCCAACGCAGAACTAAGTCTACTGTTAAAATCATTTGCTATAAAATCACAGGGGGCAGGTAAAACCAAGTGGGGAGTGTTGTTTAGGATGTCGATAAAATTTGCAGCCACTTCAGGGGTTAGATGTCGCTTCCTCACGGTTCTCACAGAGGTCTCACGCTGTATAAAACCAGTGATGTTAAAAAACACACAGTAGTGGTCCGAGACAGCCAAGTCGACAACAGAGGACACATCCGCAGTCAGGCCATAGGTAATGACCAGGTCGAGGGTGCGTCCCCTGTTGTGTGTTGGCTGTCTGACGTGTTGGGTAAAATCCATGTAATTAAGAACATCTAAGAAATCTAGGGTAAAATTGTCAGAGGGATTGTCAATGTGTATGTTAAAATCACCGGTTAAAATTATCATATTGTAAGAATTGTGTAACTGTGATAAAAACGCTGAGAATTCAGTAATAAAAAGGCTGCACTTTTTAGGTGGCCTATAAATAATTACTGTTAAAATTTTGGGGTTGCTAAAAACAAGAGAGTGATACTCAAAACTTGAGTATTGGTTAAAAACAATAGGTTTGGTGGCCAGGGTGTTACTGCATATTGAGGCTGTGCCGCCACCTCTCTTTCCTTCTCTTGTTTTAAAAGCAAAGTTAAAATTGGGGGGGGAGGCCTCTGTAAGAACAGCCGGAGCATCCGGACCCAGCCAGGTCTCAGTTAAAAACATACCATCCAGCTCGTGTTCTAAAATCAAATCATTAACAGTAAAAGTCTTATTTAAAAGGGAGGGAGGGTACATTTAAAAGTTCGAAGTGGGGGGAGCAGAGGATGAGAGAGGGCTGGGGGAAACAGTGATGAGGTTGGTGAAGGACGGTTTCCTGGGTATGGACGGTCTGTAGGGGCGGGGTCTGGACAAAACTGTAATTTTGTGCTGGGGAAGAGAGCAGGGGTTGATGCTGGGGCACAGACGGGCAGGAGGGATGTGGGATGTGGGGGTGGGTTGTCAGAGGTATGTAGGATGGGATTGGACTGCGTGGGTGATGTTGGAGATCAGGTACCGGTTGCCAAGTGGGTTGATGTGAAGTCCGTCGGGTGTGAAGAAGGGGTAGCGGTTCCAGAACAGATTAAAATTGTCTATAAAACCAAAGTTGTGATGGAGTGATGTTTGATTGAGCCAGGTGTTGAGTGATAAAATCCTGCTAAAACGCTCCCTGCCGCGGTTCATAGTGGGCAGAGGACCGGAGATAAAAACAGTTTTCCCTGAGTTTGATAAAAGGTTAAAAAGATCCTTAAAATGGCGTTTTGTGTGGTCTCGGATTGGCGGAGTGAAGCGTCATTTGTGCCGACATGAATTATGATCCGGGTTATTGTGGAGGGTGCTGTCTGAATAAGTGAGGGTAGTTTAATGAGGATGGTGGGGACTGTGGCTCCAGAAAAACAGTGTGTGATGGCATTAAAAAACTTGCAGTGTCTGATAATAGAATCCCCCACCAGGAGCGTGGTTGGTGCACACAGAGGCCGCGGAGGGGAGGGTGTGACTGGGGTGGGACCTGGTGGAGAGCAGGGGACAGGAGAGCCTTGGGGGGTGCCCGGAGCGGAGCCGCCACGAGCGGCTGTGGAGCAGGGTGGAGGATCCGGAGACCGAATGACTCCACTGTGGCCGGGTTGGTGGTGGTGGTAGTGTGGGCGAATGTGGGAGGGCCGCGCACCGGGCGGGGGGATCCACCAGGAGGCGAGGATGGCATCTGCGGGGGAACTCCTCGCCGTGCAACAGCGCAGAGGACCCCCCCGCGAGTGAGGCAGCGTCCACGGGAAGAGTCCGCGCCGTAATGGAGCGCAGACACCCCCCCGCGGGCGAGGGCAGCGTCCACGGGAGGACTCTGCGCCGTGATGTAGCGCAGAGACCCCCCGCGGCCACCTCAGCATAGGACCTGCTCTGTGCAGCGCCTCTGGGGATTCCCTCCGCGTCAGAGCACACGGACCCTCCCACAGCAGGGACAGCGCTCCCGGAGGTATCCTGCGCCACGTTAGGGCACAGAGATCCCCCCGGGGCTTCCCGCAGTTGGTCCTGCGTGACACCCGGGGAGCCCCGCGCTGTTTTAGAGCGTGGGAAGCTCCCCGAGCGTCTGCGCACAGCCTCCTCCACCAACCTGCCGACGTGAGGACACTGTTTGGACGTTCTGTGGTCTCCAGGCTTCTGCTCCGCGCCGCTCTGGGTATGGGCAGCAGGCTCCGGGACCGTAGAGGAGGGACGAGCACCGGGAGGGACGGGAGGAACAGCCGCAACCGGGGAACGTGAGGTGAGGACCGGGGTAGAGCATGATGAGGGGTGAGGACAGGTGATGGGATCCCAAAGAGCAGTGTCGTGGAGTGTGGTAGCGAGCTGTGAATGTCTAAGTACGGAGAGGGATATTTGCTGTGACTGCTTGAATGAGATGTCCATGAAATGTTCCAGAAGTTTCTCTTTATGTATGAGTTCTGTGGATAGTTGTGTAACACTGCGTTGAAGTTCCTCGGGGGTCATTGCGTTTACTGGTTTGGATGGAA